AATAAAGTAAACAATGCATTGAAGATCCATTGATAACATAAAGGTCAATCGCTATATTATCATCATGTAGCCATTATTTGTTTTGAAAAGTTGATTGAACTATCGTTTAGCTAATTTGATTTTCTGCATAGTAACAACAGGAAACATTGTAACCATTTTATCTAAACGTTAAACATATTTGTTTTAGAATGTTTCATATCACATATTGACTTCAGGTAGAAAACTTATAGATACAACCAACTGAATTGGATAATAATAATAATAATCGAAACAAATATGCACCGGCGATCACAGATCAACAGCAAATATAATTAATAACCCCCTCTTTTGCTACAGGACCCTAGATCTCGCTGAGTCACAGAATATCAGAAGACAGAGAATGGGATGTGACACGCTTTATATACCTTTTAAAGTAATATAAAATTACAGCGAAAAAGTGAATATATGGTTTACGTTGATCCGTTGAACAACAGAATAGATTATCCGATAAGGCTGTTTCAGCTACTAAGCAGCACAATTCTTATTCTAGAGCAGAAACTTTTGGAATAGGATATACGGCTTTGAATTTGTATATAATTTGTCTCTTAGAACTTAACATATGTTTCTCGTATTGTTATTAACATACCGATAAATTTTTAATTATTTATGAAGTATAGAAATGAATAAAGATTTAGGTCAGTGAATAAAAGGCGCATATATCAAAGCATCGATATATATCGATATATAACGATCAAAACACTAATTATTATTTGAACATAATTTTAATTTACTGAATACAAAAAAACTTATGAAAGATAGTAAAAACTAAAACATAGATATGTGAACGAAGAATATTCTCTGCGATAATTTCACATAAGGTTCTACAGACATACATTTAAATGTATGTTTGAATATTTGTGTATTTAATATAATCGGAATCAATAAACATTGAAAACTAACCTTAAATCGGTTTTCAACTGATGTATGAGTGAAATCAATGACAACTTCAAAAGGTTTATTACGATAAGCATCTAATGTCATTGAAACTAGACATATAATGAATGGATATTCCACGCGCTGATACTCTCGTGATCTTAAAAAAGTGCGAAATAATACACATAAGTAATTGCAAAAGAATGAATATATATATATATATATATATATATATATATATATATATATATTACCGAAAGGATTATTCAAGTAGACCATGAAGGGTAACAACGTTACATTAAGGAAGTATTTCAGTGAACGAAAACTTAGGTGGGAAAAATCGAAATTACAAAGTGTTTTAGTAAAATATGAAAACCATACATTAAATATATTATTTGCACATCTTTCTTCAATTGTACTTTACATTCTTCACGATTCTTCCAATTCTGTTGTTATTACAATTGCTCTTTATTTTGTCTCATGTTTTTTTCAATGCGATCTGCTGCTGACTGGTATTCTACTTCCTATTGGTACTACATACTACTTATATCTGTCAGTATAAGTAGCATTCACCACTGTAGAATCAATATTATTACAAATTATAATGACAGATTAATAATGATTACAAAAAATAAAATAATTTATCAGCTAGACATTCATTAATTCTTAATTTAATAAAAAGTTGCAGCTTTAGATAATGTAAATCAAAGGCAAAAAGGGATACAAATTCAATGACAATCAAATAATTTCCCATATTTTGTAAAATGAATGAAAAGAAAATTCATTGTCATAATATAACAGGACACAAATTGTAATTTACATCAGTTAAAGAGAAGGTTAATTAATTAAATCATCCTCATTATCAAATTCCCATTGGTTTTCAGAGTATCATCAAAAAATTTAATTAAAATGAATGTGTGTGATTCAAGTGATAAATGAGTGTGTATTACACAGTGATTGTGGTAAAATCCAAAACCAGCAGTAACACTTTTTTCTAATAAGTCTTTCTAGTAGCACGATGCAATTTGTAATTCAGAGTTTCAAGTGTATGACAATGACTTTTTTATAATGAGATACTAACTTGTATAAACTCATTGTATAAAACTTATTATAGTGTTAGGAAATAGAATAGACAATATTGATAATCAAACAATTAGTTGTAGGATTGAGGTCTATTTCATCGAATTTTGTTTGAGTATCGTTAACTCTCTACACTTAAACTACAATTCAAGGTCTTATACACAAAATTGTACTTTGCTACTAGTTACATTAAGATTTTCTGGTTAACTGTTTATCTTGCACAAGGGTAATAAGTTTAAAGACATACTGGATATTTAAACACAAATTTTTCATTAAACGTTTTCATATTACGATTTGTCGAGAACTAAATGTATTTTATTGTAAGATATTCTGTTGATTAATTAAAATAATATTCATACATACGAGAATGAACTTTACAAATTCCGATTTAACAAAGTGTAGTACGTACAAAAATACAGTTACTTTCTTAACAAATAACTAGTTAACAAATGCGACCAACTGTTTCGTTTTAGTTTTCTATAAAACAGTTACATACTACCAATCAATTTTCAAGTTGTAAAAAAAAGACAATCCTAATGTTTTGTAAATACTGAATAAGCTATTAAAATGGACGTAGATTTATGATGACAAAGTTTCAGCTTGACTGGATTTGTGTAAATTTTAGTTTCATTGAAACTAGAGTTCAGAATGAAATAGTGCAAATTGTACTTTAGTAAATTACGTGATACAGATATGATAATGGTATATTTATTTTAGAAAATTCTGTCAAACAGAAATAATCGAAAGTAACAAAAGTGTTTAGCAAGTTAAAACTAATAAATGTGTAATATAATATAAAAATAATTATAATATACATAGTTTCGTTTCAAGAATTCTATGGACAGGTATAAATTAAACTAACTAGTCCCCAAGAAACAATTAATCTTATATTGTCTAGATTTTATACTGACAATCGTACACTGGCTAACTTTGAAACGTAGTTAATTTGATAAGTGGATTTGGGTCCAACCGCTGTAAAGACATTGGTTGAAGTTTCTTGCTGTTTGAAGTTACACGTCAGTGTATAATTAGAACCTAGGATTCCTGCCAATCAGCTAACATAAAATAATAGAATGTCCAGTAACTTGCCTTCGTAATTACACTTCAATTGTAATTGACAACATACTATTATTACTGACAAGAAGACAAAATAACAGTGCATCCCTTAATAATGATCGACTCGTTAGAGCAACTCAATGTCTAGGAGAATCACGAGGTTTACGAAATAAATAAACGGGGATTTCTCTAAATGTTTCACTGGGTAGTGTAAGTTTGAACCACCTTTCAAGGCCACAGAAACCCATTACAGACAAGTGATACAAACTATGAAACCTTACTGGAAAGTGTCTTTACAGCCATCGATAATCAGCTAATGTTAAAAACAGACCAAAGAGTCACCTTTAAGTAGCCACTCAATACAATATAATCATATTTTTCAAAGGATTAATTCAATAATTGGGTTGTAAAAGCATGCTTACTTATATCGCCTAGCGATGTAGTAAAAAACTGGATTGCCTAATCGACTAATACCAGCTTGGTAAAATGCATTTACATTTTTCAAATGTTTAAATTCCTCACTGTCACGAAACTGGTAACCCCGTAGTACCCAGTCTTCTAATCTCGTCGATGGTATATCCAAGTAATTCCACCTATAAAATTAAGTGGCATATTAATATATCTTTGTATAGAAAAATGACTGAAAATGTAATAAATAACAGATGATAAATTGTGTACAAGTATTCCTCGAATTTATACGAGATTTTATTACATAAAAGGTAGATAAATAATGAATAAGCTAAATGGTCAATGTGATGAAACGTTAGAAAATTATTTCATTTAAGTTGTTGACTTCTCAGTATTACTAGACAAAATTGAAAACACATGACGTTGAGCCCAGAACTTTCATGTTTCTTGATTGTCGTTGTTTGCAATTAACAATTAGTTAGTGGTACTTCATGATTATTCTCAAATGTCATCAACGAATAATTTTTACTTACATTCGACATTGTGCAAAATGAAATGTAAAACGTTTACTGGAAAACTTTAAAGATTTCAAATATTATATGCATAATGAATATTAGGGAATTTAGACCTGGGAAATTTTCAAACAACTCGAGTACTTAATATCATAAATTGTAGTAGAGTAATTATTATCATACTTAAAATTCTTTCTTCAGTTGATTTGTCATGAAACTATTTTTCAATTTGAACTGTGAATAGTATATTTGGCTCTTTTAAAATATGCAAATAAGTTCAAGAAGTTGCATATTTCTAATTCGTGCTTCATCATTAGAAACTATGATACAAATAAAGACATATTGAAAACTTTGGATCTGATGACCACTGATATGAATAGACGTATATATAGAAATGGGAAACTTTGATGTCATTCTTTATTGAATTAGTGTATACGTATTTATTAAACAATTGATTTATGGTGGTGTTACGTGAATTAAATTGTAAGGTTTCATTTCACTCATTACCTATTGCGATCTATTTTTCTATTTACAAATAATTGTTGATTGATCATAAACCTGTTACACAGAACTGTATCCGACAGATTCCAATTCTGTTTATATTATTATTTGTAGCTTACTGTCGGTTTATAATGTATGTTTTTAAAGTTTGACAAAAACATGAAGATAGTACGAGATTGTTTCTTGGTCATCATAAATTTTGGGAAAAAGACTAGAAAATCGTGTGAGCTAGTGATCACTTCTGGTATACAGTGACATCATCAAAAGACCCGCATTGGTAAACATAATGTGAAAAAAACCATGGCATTATTCGTGACTAACTCAGTGATATATTCATAAGTTTGAAAGTAGTTTCTAATGTTCACACTACTACTTGCTACTGTTTTTCGGTGAAAATGAAAAACTGTGGGTTATACATAATGGTACTTAATAGTTTAGAATGAAATCTACGTGATCTGGATGTTCAATCTATAGGTGGTATCATCATATATGAACTTAATTGGTGAATTGTATATACTTTTTTAAACTTACATACAATCAACAGATTTATGCCCAGGTGGACCCAGATGTGCCAATAAAGTTACCATTTTGTCGTATGGTTGTCTGCCAACAGCTTTCCAATCACTATAAAACAGAAAAGGAAAGAATAATTTTTAGTTTTGTACAAACATTGAAAATGCTTATTAAAATTCATCTGAAATTTAACAGATCATTTTTCAACATTTCAGATTTCATATTTTCATTTAGAGCATCATGAGAAATTAAAGGGTCACTGGAATAAGTGAATTTGTAGAGAATTTAGACTATATGGAGTGAATTGAATTCATTGACTCCCTCTAAGTATTTGTTTAAAATTATTTATTCATCTTAGTCTTGTAACATAATAGTGGAAAATATACATCATTAAATAATAAAAGTAACTTTATATTTGAATTACCGATTGCTAGCTAGGTAATCACCAATTTTACTTTGATTTGTAAATAATAATCGATGTAAAGCATGTATAAGATCATCGGAAATAAAAGAAATCATACAACTTCCTGCACCTCCTCCGACGCCACCGCCACCACCACCTGTATTTGTACAAACTGATACTGAGGAAACATTATCACTTGTCAGTGGAGCAATAGCTTCTAGAGGATTCGCAGTTGATGAGTTAGGATATGCACCGGATAACCATGAAGAGGAGACAACTAACTGACTGGTGTTGTTTATTAAGGGATCTAATAGTCCGTTGAATGTAGAAGGATCCAACGATTTATCAGATTTCGTAGACTCTTCAACAATCGACTAAAACATTAGAACAAAAAGGAGATAAGATCTATTTTTTCTGCAGAGAATTCATCATCAAATAGTGCCACGCATTATTTGTAATTGTTGTCACACTTGAAAATTAGAGTAAAACTATTCGAATGCATTCATCTATACTACTTTCTGTACGACAGATCTTTTACACTGAAAAGCCTTCTAAGAGGAAGATGAATAAACATAAACGATATTTAGCCACAAAAACCATAGGACTATCAAATATCGACTACATTGTTACCTAGTTGTTTAGACCTACTGAACTTGTATAGACTTCAACTTTTTTCGAAACACATAACCAGAAATCCAATAAGCTAAAATCCAAAAGCTGAGAAAGACTAATTTGGTTGAGTTTGTACTTTCCGATTGCTGTTTCTCAGAAATTCCTTTGACCAGTTTGTATAAGTATATGTACATCCTCAACGAATGAATCAATGTATTATTTTATTATGTTTGGTTTTTGGCTATCAACAAACGGGAGAGTACAAAACCCTACAAACAAAGCCATTTGAAATGATGGAATTCTAGGTTCGGGTTTCGGTGTAAACATAAACGCTAAGATACAGAGATTCAATTGATAAGTTTCAGTTGGGACGAAATGGGTATTCTAGGTTTCTCTGACAACTTAAATTGACTTATGAATTCAACCATTGAAATTACTACAATATCAAAATGTCCCCATTCTGATACATACAAATATCCAAAAAATTTAAAAATATTTCCGGAACAGCTTCCTGAGGTCTACAACTAATAATGCTAAGAAAATTTACTTGGAAGATATTGTGAATAGTGTTACTGAAAATAAGTTTATTACATAAATCCACTAGATAAACTATTTCAATAATAATTAGAATCATTTATTCTCTAACAGTGTAAATGGTCAGGAAGTAAGCAAGATAACGAACTAATGACTGAATATCTGGAAGACAAACTATGACGTAATCTCTTTTCATTATTAACATTTATTTACCTTGTGAGAATATTATCACAGCTTCATCAAACTAATTTTCATATTTAACCGTTGTAGTAACTAAGAGATAAGAACGAAACAGAACATATAGGTAGTTTCTTATCAATTACCTCTAATGAACTAAAATTAGACTACAGTGCACTGAGACGTCTAGCTTTCTAGCCTAATGACTTCGCAACTTGATCGATGATTCCATCATACCTAACGAACAGAAAACAACACACTGATTACCACAAAACGAGAGAAAAGTTATTCCCAACTATATGAGTAGGTGACGAAAATCTGGTTGTACTTAGCCTGATACTCATAATCACAAGTTAAATACAATCAGTGACTTGTTTCAAAATCGGTAGCACTGACGCAGATATATATTCATTGTATGTGTTCTCTTAAAACTTATGTCAAACGTTAATAATGAGTTTTTATTTTCCGATTCTGTTTATATCTTTTAAAACTACTGCTGATGGAACGTCTGACTGAATAGAATTCTTCACAACGATCTTTCGTTACCTTTTATCAGTTGTCTTAGTTCGGCAATATATAAATCCTGACGAAACAATGGATTCTTAACATCCGGAACTTGATACACACTAGAAATTAAAGGTTGAAAGTAAAGTGATTGATGGATGTTGAGATTAAAGCACACAAGTAAAAACACATAACAGAACATACTTTAAAGAACTGTCGACATGATTCAAAGTGTTTCTGTAAAACTGAATCAAATATACGCATATGCGGCTCTTTGGTAAATAGTAATTGATTTGCAATATTTTGCATCATTTTCCCAATCAGAATAAGACCACGTTTAACACGACTTGGTGGTTCAAAATCCAATATTCCGCTTTCATACGGTGATACAACAGCTGGATTAATAAATCGTAAAAATACAACTGTCGACAAAACATTTAATGCTTGATCAGTAGACTGATTTCCATAGCCTAAATGACCAATTAGTTTGTATAAGCATCTGCACATACATCGTAATCTAGATGGGAAACTAGTATATAAGCGAGAATTAAAATAACGTTTGTTTTACACAAGTTATAACGATTTAAATTAAATTAGGCATACAATAACAAGTTTTTTTAACTAATGGAACGTATATTCAAAGCTTAAATGTTCTTTAAGCTGATATCCGCTTTATTACCAGTAGTGTATGTTCATGATTATTTATATAGTTGAAACTATTGTAAGCACTACAAGAATGACTAAATCGGTGTTGGAGTATGACAAACTTACCTAAGTAAAACCAGTTAATTTAAACAAAAATAACTTTTTTACATTTGACTTTAATGAAATCACAAAAAATTTACAAATCAATGAATTTAAAGAAACAGCGAGATTGGAGGAATAAATTTGACCGTAAAACATAGAAAGATACTGATGCATTTTCGACGCAATCAACGTAAACGTGAATTTTTTTAACAGCATAAAAAACATGTTGATAATTTCAAGGGGTTAGTGGATTTTTATAAACATAAAGACGATCTGATGTGAACTGAAATCTACTGCGAACTATCATGAAATGAATTGTATTATCACGTTGTTGATATTTTGAGTGAACTTTGATTAGTCTCGGTTAGCACATGTGAGGATATAACCGATTATGACACATATAGTGCAGAAAAAATGAGATATGGTTGGCAGTTGAATTTAGGGTGTGTGTTTTGTCCTATTCCGGGACTAGTCAGTTAGATGTGTTGGGTTCTAGTAGCGGAATAAACATCAAATCTGAGATGCTGTTACATTAAAATGGCGATCTCCAAACAAGAGGAGATGCGTGTCCTGTAATACACTGCTAGCAACATTCCATCTATTCTACACTCATCATTTTTCATATTTTGTCCAAGAATTCATGCTTACGCATTAACATGTAAGATTCGAAATTTAAACAACGAAGAAATGCAGATATCAGAAGTTCGGTTAGCAGTAAGAGCTAATATTTTCCATTCGTATCTCTTTCTTTTTAATGATATGCATAATTTAAATTGATAAATATTCATTAAAGTAAAAATATCTGTTTTTTGCGTTTAGTGAATTTTTAACCATTCAGAGCTCAGTATCTCATAACTAATGACTAATTGCTAATCGATTATTTTCACACTATATCCTTCATGATTCCAAACTAAGGTTAGTCTGGTGGTGCGAATTTCCTTGTTGGTTTTTCCTAAATAATCCCAACCTACAGGTGTGAAATCTAAATGAGTCTCAAAAAACGTATTGTGAAAAATAGTAATAAATCGGGCTGCGAAGATGAGTTCATGTTTTCTGCAACTCAGTATAATATATTATGACATTATTTGTGAAATTTGTTTATGAAATAATACTAGCGATTTAAATTTAAATAATCCCAACATCCGGTTCAGGAAAGTTGTCTTGACTTCTGGGTATTAATCAAAATCTAAATCATCAAAGAATATATGATGTTCAACAATCAATTCGAATCTATTCCATGCTTGTCCAATCATGTTCAGAGGTTGACTTTAGTAAGTAGAATAACATGAATCAGTTGAATGTGAATCATGTGAAAAATTCACAGCGTGAATATATATATATATATATATATATATATATATATAACTTTATGTTTTTAGAAGTTGAAATTAGGTGTTAAATTATTTACTAAAAGCAAAAATAGAAGTGCAAATTTAAAATGTTTTTGAAACTTCGATATGAATGTAATATGGGAACTATCAAATACGTAATTTCAATGATAAAGTACTCAAATTATTTTTACCAAAAAAATCGTGGATAGAGATAGGGTCCAATTAATCGTCAATGATGATTTGTCGAGTCGTGGCTAGTTGAATACAATCTTTTCTGTCCTTATGAGCTTATATATACAGTGCTTAAGCTGTCACTCTATATTCATGAGTGCGAAACCCTTTCTGAAGTATTTTGGTCCCCTCAAAGTTGGTCATATGTCCTGAATAAGTCCAAAAATCTCCTGAACGAAACGTTGAGATGATTTAGATTTTTGTTCTCTGAGGTTATTTCAAATATGATTTTCACAAATAATGTCTGCTCCATACTCAGTGCATGAATTGTCTATTGTTATTCGTACATATTTTATGATATTAATTTTATTTTACAATGCGACATTTAAATATTGGTATTATTCTCCGTCCGACATCAATCAGTACGGTATAAGTTTTATGTTTTCCAGTGTAATATTTTTCCGAATCAATATGCTTCTATCAATTAAGTTTGAACGTCGTTCAGTATGGTACGTGTGAAATTCCGTCCAGTGCGACAATTATATTATTTTTATTATTCTGCATGAAATTCGTATGCGTTTTACAGTGGGTAACTTTTCATTTATATGAGGTTTGTGTTCTTGAAATCAGTAAGTAAGTCTGGTGTAGTAACGACATGGTTTTGTATAACTTGTTCGGCAAACAAGTGTTCGGTGAATCAATAAATATTTATTTGTACTAATCCTCATGTTTTCTCATTGAGGATTGTGGAACTAAAGTGATTCGCGTTTCCAAATTTAGGCAGTAGGATGGCATTTACAGCAAAAGAGACGCTAGTTATCACGCAGGTCTATCATTTGTTATCTTTTCCTAAATCTTGAGCATTTCTTCTAAATATTTCATACTTTCATCCCTCGATTTCTTAAATTGTTATAAGATAACATTCTCCATCACTGATGCTGTTTCAACCAATCTGCTTTTCCCTATATTGTTTTCGGTGTACTGTTGTGAAGTGTGTTCAAATGAACCGATGCACATCCATCCTAAGCCTTGCATAGTGTATGAGTAACCATGATCATTGACTGGTCTTCAATGATTACTGAATCACGTAGACAGGTAACCACTTGTTTATACTGAAGGATGTTAAAGTATTATATATTGCTTTATTTGACTGAATAGTCGTTAGTCAATTGTCTTTGGTATAACTAAACATAAGTCTAAACCAAAATAAATTAAATCAGTTTGTCACTATGATCGGGTGATTAAATGATAAGCGGTTAAATAATTCAGGTCGATCAAATCGATAAGTAAATAAAATGCATATTTAAAATGTATGTTTTAATATTCTTACCTATCCACAGATTTAATTAATTTATTATATAATAATTCAGTTGCAAAAATCAAGTTGTTTTGATTATCTTCCAGATTTTCATTTGATTGCAAAAGTCTTGGATCTACTTCGTAGGATAAGTTCGATTTGTTATGATTGAATTTTGTTATATCTTCCAACAATTCATTCGTACTAATTGATGACATTCCACCTAATAGTTGCATGCAGTTGTAGTTAGGAATATTGTCACTCTTGATAGTGTTGACTGGTTTATTATTGATGTCATTTTTTCCTACAATTGTAGCTATCACTGGTGGTGGTGGCGGCGGTGCCAAAGTTACATAAGCACCTGAATTTCCGGCATCTCGTCTAACTAGCTCCATAAGTACTGGACCTAACACCGATTGTAAATAATCGCGTCCAAATTGTTTAAAACAATAGTTCATTATTTTACTTGTCATTGTATTACCACGTAATGGTGCTTGCATACTATCAGCTGATTCCAGCTAGATATTATATAAATATAACGAAGAAGAATAACAAGAAAAGTCATTAATTTAATAAGAATGATTTTAGTATATTTTCTCTCGGTTTTGATGATGTTAAATCTATATTGTGATTGTTGAATTGTATTTTCTTATTGATATACATAATCATAATCTTCGGATAGGATTAACAGACGCCCTAGTTGATAGTAATATGAATGAACGCTTAAACGTTTGATTATTCTATTTCTCATTGACAAAACATAAGTTTGATAGTTTGAAAAACATTTACTCTCTTGAGGACAACTTACATTTGCAAACTAAAGTTTTCATTTATGGACTATAAAGTCAGAATTCAGATCTTACCCAACAGGTATAAATCTAAAGTCAAGCAAAATGATTACTAAGTACAATGGACTAGTGAAAAACTGTGCACAGTTGAACTCGTCAAAATAATATGGTGGTATATTTAACGCCGATAACTGTGTAAATAAATCTCGGTTTCATTTTTACACGTCAGGATTGAAATTAAAAGCATTTCACATATGCTATGTAGGATTACCCTTTCGTGATACCTCTGTACATGTTTTCTTTTAATAAACATGTTAAGCTGCCTCCTTTCTAGTTATAATTAAATGATAAATAAATATCAGGCAAGATTCATGTAAACTGTAGACCTACTTTCATTGTTTTAGTAGTTTGATGAAACTAACCACAAAATAACAAAAGGTTGATTTGGTAAGTGATAATTTGTTTTGGAAAATGTCGTTGGTAAAAATGATAAGGGTTAATTAATATTTAAATTTAAAATTTAATATTAGACGATACTTCAGATGAAATGTTTATGGGCTACTGAATTTACTTGTTGAAATATCCAGCCCAGCTCAGTCAACAAAAATTAGGTAGACAGATAAACGATGTAATTATCAAGAATTCCATTAATTTCTACTTATTTCATAACACTGGAATTATAACATAATTACATACTAAATTGATAGTTTCCTTCAAAAAATTACTTTGGAAATTTCCAAGTTATCATCTATTGAAAGATATTGGTTCTTGACAAATCTTAGTACTGTTGCATTAATGTTATAGGTAGTATATATCTTTTCCCGGGTAAGCCACTGATATTTTGATTAATATAATCATATTACGATAGTAGTTTTATATGCTGTTCTTTATTTCCTTGAAATTATACTATAGCGGGTTAAATGAATCTTTGGTCTAAAAACCAAATAAAACATAACCATCTAAGTGAAAGGGAAAGTCAACTAACTTTTGCACACACTATATAAACGACGTTTATTGAGTTAGTGAAAAAAGTAATGACAAAAATGTCTTAATTATTATCTTTTCTTTATGAGAAATTGATGATTTAGTTCTAAGCAGAATCCTAACGCATAATTAAAGCTATTTATATGGAAACTATACAATAAAAACTTTAAATCAGTAAAAATAAACCATGTAAAAATTATGAAATAACTAACCTCTTTAGAAAATACATTGCAAAATAATTGGCATAGTAATTGTTTAGCATCAAATAATGTCACGAGAACTCGAGCTAATTCATCCTGTAAATGAAAAGCACATTAATCTTTATATTTTTTCATTGTATATGCTTGGTAGTGCCTGTTATAAATTTAATATTTCAATAGGAAAGGATAATTATTTTTATAAAGTTGGCTCGTGGTTAGCAAAGAAAGACAGATTTGAGTGTGTCTCAGTTTATATGTTTGCTCGTTTGAAGCGAAAAGTATTACATTCGATTCTCAGTCTAGACATTAATACCGAAATCTGGGTACATTTAGCTGAAATGTTCCAAATAAAACAAAATCTACATCAGAATTGCTAATTTTATAAATAGCCATTCATTATATTTATAATGACTAGACATTCCAAGCCATTTATAGATATTATTAATTTGATTAAGTGTATTCTGATTGCGTAGAGTTTTACATTCAGTTACGATTGTCATTCTAGTACAAATGATTTCATCATCCACTAGCCCTTGTTGGACATTCTGAACAATTGTTGAATCTTATTGAACGTTCGATAAATACCTGGACGAATAGAATTTCTTAATTTATACATTTAAATGCATTGGCATGATCATGAATAAATTATATCATTTTGTTTTTGAGAAGCTTCAATTCGTTTCAGAGATTGGAATATATATTAATCGATAGTCTATAACTAATAAGATAATCAATTTTCATATATATAATAAAAGCAAGAATAACAAGATTTGATAAAAAAAAGTGAATCCAGTCTTTTTCATGATTAGCTTTTTACAAAATACAAATACGCAACTATGTTTACTGTCATATCTCGTGTCTTATTCCTTTCATTGTGATTTTCGGTTCTGTTTCAGACAACCTTCTCAATTATAATAACCAAAGCATATCAATTCTTTGTTTTCAACCATATTAGCATTTGTAACTGTGTACTTTATTATTGTTCACTGTTATGTGATCATATCCCATGGGAGATAATGACAACTGCTGACATTTTCATTAGAATATTCAATATATCTAAGGTTTTGTAACAAGGTAATTGACATCGTTTTTATACTTTTTCAATAACGTTCAATCATTTCGAATTCATTTTTCAAAATTTCTCAGCATTACTTATGAACGTTTTCCTGTTGAATAATTTTATTATTCGATTTTCCACCTCACACCCCAAATGCCCTCGTACGGCCAAGAGTGGGAGAGTCAGCTCCTCTACCACGTGCATACAGCCATTGCCAGGAAATTCCTACTCGCTGAATCCTCGCAGCTAGGGTGTTGTTACGAAACTGAGAGGACGGAAAGCGAATATCCGGCGTTTTAACCGGGTTGGTGGATACGGAGTGGGAAAATACCGATTCCAAACCAATGGTGTACATGGGCTCCATGATCCTAAGGAAACAAATGGCGTATGAACAATTTGGTTACCGGCTAAGATGGGACTTCATCTCTTGACGTTGCTCCACTGCCTTGTGGATTAGACTTTTACGTCAAAGGCTCGCGATGTAGCCCCCTAAGAAAACCACATGCTTTGGTTTGGGCACCCGGGGAGTATCCCAACCCTCACATAAATCGAATGATTTATGTGGTGCATATCTCTTTGATGCATTCTTGGATCAATGTTTATGTGTTTAAATAAATAAATCACTTCACTCGATTTGATATTGTAAGTGAACAACCCATATCTATCTACACCTATCTGGCCTAATAAAAATCATGTAAACTGATATATGTACATGAAAATTACGTAACAGTTCATATAGCAGATTTACACAGACACATACACACATTTCCTGATCACTGGCTGAACAAAGTAGGTAATTTGTGTAGAATATTTTTCTAACGTATTATATATTCACTGGTGTTTCAAAATTTCACCAACTAGAATACCCCAATATTGAGATTTGGAAAATCCAGCTAAATAGACCGCACCCGCGTCAATCATATTAAAAACATTCAAGGGTTTTAATTGTTTACTTTCGTATACTAGGCTTGATTTTATGTTTTATTTAAATTTTCTTCTATGCTAACAAGAAATGAGTAATCTGGGCGATATTCCACTCACAACGTATATGTCAAATAAAATGAAACGTTGAACTGCATCCGCTCCAAACAATAAGCATGTAGAAGTATAGAGTTAATTTCTTATAACTGCTGATTATTAAAAAATGTACATATAAAAGTTATTGATTAAAGTATAAAAATGAGATGATACAATTATAATCGGGTTATTTTTAAAAAAGTCAACCAACCATATTATTGCAAGAAACAACTTGGGTAAGAGCCATAGCTATAGGAAGTTCTCCATTTTCACCAACCATAGTCACTAAACCAACTAAACGCTCATATCGTTCAGCTAAAGCTGTTTCTGCAAGAGTTTCGAATTCCGTGCCTTGTTGTAAAATTTTTGTCAGAACTTCCATAAATGCAGCTCGACTTTGTGGTTCTCTATGATAACCCAAACCTAATATGTGTTAAAATATTAAGTTGAATAGATAACTAGCCAAACTGTTCAGTAGGAAAACTATTTTTTTAAATATACAGGTAGCGTAGGATATTAGAAGAGTCAAATTAAATAATAAACAAATATTTACCTGTTAACTATTAGTGGAAACGTCATACTTCATATTTATTGTAGTGATACTTCGATAAAGATAAATGATTATGAATTTAAGAATATAATACACCGAAAACATATCAACTTTTGTATACAGAGAATGAAGTCAGCTAGAAGAAGATGGTTATTTCTTATAAACAGCTTTGACTTACACAAACTACGAAATTTCAACCTTGAACCACATAAAAATTCTTCGAAAATGTTTTCTTAAACGACAGTAAATAGTTATTGCAGAAACTATGAAAATTTGTTTACTGGATGTTCATAATGATGTATAGAAGTCGGGAACCAGAGTTAATTAATTCGATAAAGTAAATGCAACAATTATATGATCGGTAACTTTGTATAGTTAAACACTTCAAAAATAAATGGCACTCAAATCCTCATCAATGACATTCTAAAAGACTTAAGTTATATAGCTTTTCAACTTGCTAACACTTTAATTTCTGATTAGTTTACTGAGAAGTAAATGATATGAATAAACGAGACTAAAGTTTTCATTTATCATCATTATAGGTTTTAACTCATAACCAATCTGATATGGAAAAAGCTTAAAACCAAACTAAAAAACCGTTATAGGGCTATGTAGCAACTATCAGTTTTTCATTGTCTACATCACAGAGTGATCTTGATCAGTTAACAGTTATCCATGCATTATTGATGAAGCGACTACAAAATAAATATTTAAAATCATTTTCTTATAGTATACAATTAAGTAAAACGAACAAAAAACAGGAAGATATTATTCAACTCTCACCTATCGCGTGAACTAATCCAGATTCAATGTTAGCATTTAAAAGGTTTGACATTGCTTGAACTGTAACATTACGTAAAGCTGTATGATTTTGTCTTATTTCAGCACCTTTTTCACGATCGTCTGCCACATCATTTAATAGATTCATAAAAAGTGAGAAATATCTAATTTAATAAATAAATGAAAACAAAGAAGAGTTCAAAATGGTATATCAGATACTTTGTCACAACAAATTCCGACTTGATAATCAAATTATTTTCCAGAAAGTTAAGTGTATTGAAATATTATTTTATGTCGTATGAGATCTGTGATTAACCACTAACTTAAATCGCTGATATATATATATATATATATATATATATATATATATATATATCGATTGTTTATTATGTACTCGATGTCCGACGTCTGCTGTAAAGTAGTTCATTCCGAAATTTCATGAATGTTTATATGAAATGCTGTAAATATTCACTGCATTCGAGTTGTGAACATTTAGGAATCAATGAGAAATTAATAACCTCAAAATGATATAATTTTATTGTACAAGCTTTATTTTTATTGTACAAATTTTATAAACTTATTCTTATCAATTAACAAACCATAATGGTGGTAAGAAATGCTAAATATGGAATAAAATGTAACAGTATCTATCAATCCAATAAATTTCAAGCAGTTGGTAGCTGAAAAACAGCTAGACCTCGTAACATTTATTTAAATCATTAACTAAAAATAAGTTCCGTAATAAGACCTGTAACTCTTTTTTTCTATTTTCTTTCTATTCATTCCATTTTTCTTCTGTCTGCATATTCACTTCATTTTAACTAACATTTTACGATGTCTACTTTATAGTATTGTTATTGATAAAAACCATAAACATTTGTATACTAAGTTATTATATCTGATAGGTATAATTCAAACTTCATTCAGAAAAAAAGTGGAAAGAACTAATTATGTATCCTTTAAAATAGTTTCTAACAACAGAAACATTGTGTAATTAAAATAACGATAAACTTACTTGAAATAAGATCATTTAGAGTTGCTTACGAATTTAGATTTAGTGTGTTTATTAGAAACTAGGATGATAAACTTTGTCATTTATAAAAAGCACAACGTAGACTTACTTAGCAAACAAATGAGATTTAGCATCCATTAAGTCTGCTCGGTCAATTTCTTCTGGTTGCAATGGCATACCATGGAGTAATGCAGCTACAGCTTCCATACATGCAAGATCTAATTCCCTTGTTTGAGCAGCAGTTTGTGCTACTATACCGGCAGTTGAAGTTATATTTGGAACATTGGAAGAATAACCTCCAACACTTAAAGTTGTGACAGCAGAGACTGCAATGGCTGGTACATGAGCTGAAGTAGTGTTCGTTCCTGTATACAAAGCATAATTGATACCACTTGCACCTGACCAAATACTTGCGACAGACGATTGTCCAGAATAAGATATACTACTAACATTGGATGTAGGTATATTACTTCCATACTTGATTACATTGATTTGACCACTAATACTGTTAAATCCAGATGAACTAGAAACAGTAGATAAAGAATTACCACCGTTTGATATGTAATTTTGACATGACGTTGCTCCTGACAAAGCAGCTGACTTGCTATTTGCAACGTTCCAAGATTGTGACTGTCCAATACAACTTAATCCACCAGTTACAAGTCGATTATTGTTTACAGTTCCATATGGCATACTACTGAAGCTAGTTAACTCTGAAGTATTAAAATAGGGTGAAAATGGGCTGTTAGAAAACTGTCCGTGAGCAATTAACCCCACACCAATACCTAAATTCGGTGTTGCATTATCCCATGCACAATTATAATCCAAGATATCGGATCGATTCCAAGCATTTACTGATGACTGACTTTGGGATCCATAGTTCATCAGTCCAAAGTTCCCTGACGTTAACGGGCCGCAATATGGGACACCCTGATAACCAGTAATGTTACCATGAACACCACCATAGTTTACAACCATTCCACTGATCCCACTGCTAGGTACAATGTTTGAATACGCTAATTGTGCATTGTGGCTTGTTATCGCAATAGAATTATTCTGGCTTTGACTTATGGGTATGACTACCCCGGATGGGAGGAAAATTGGTGGATTCACTAGTGATGAGTTAGACAAGGAAATGTTTTCATTAAATTCTGATGTAAGAGAGTTAGCTACTGAGGTATTTGATAATCCAAACACTCCGGAAACGTTACTGTTATTACAAGAAGCAACAGTAGTAGCAGTAGACATTGTTGTTGTGATTGTTGTTCCTGTTGAATTATTAGCTAAGTAATTTGTTTGTACGGAAAGATTAAGATGATAGCTACTGCCCATGATCCAATCACAAAGGTAATCTACTAATTTATTTCGAAATCTCATCTCCTAAATGATAAAAACAAAAAAATCATGATCGTGGTAACAAACAAAATAGGATAATATATATATGAAATACAAGAAAGATTTCTGTTTAATTTAATGGAAAAGCAGAGTTACGTAACTATTAAATCAAAATATTTGGGTCAAAGCATCACAAAAACTCGATCCAGGGTTGAATCAAATTTTCGTATTTGACTATAAGCACAACAGTCTCTAACTCTGCCTGGAGTCCCTCCGGGGGCTACTGCCGGTCCCAAGCCCGGATGAAGGAGGAGGGTTGGGCATGGGGTTGGCGTCCCCATCCCGTAGAAAACTAACTCGCTAAAAATATGCTAACCAGAAAAAATTATTCAAACCTTTTAAACTCTGCCCTGGGAGTCAGAAGGTCTTCATTTAGAAGAACTATGACGCATCATGATGAAAGCCGAATCCCTTCGGAAGTTACGAGGCCGATGCCCCTTCTGACAACCAGAGCGACCATTTATTTAGGTACATGGAATGTTCGTACAATGTAGGACACTGGAAGAGCCTTCCAGATTGCTGCAGAAATGAGAAGATACAACCTGGAGGTACTTGGGATCAGTGAAACACATTGGACACAAGTTGGACAACAACGACTAACTACAGGAGAGCTCCTGTTATACTCCGGCCATGAAGAAGAAAATACACCACATACACAAGGAGTTGCATTGATGCTGTCCAAACAAGCGCAAAATGCACTCATAGGATGGGAATCTCATGGACCAAGGATCATCAAAGCCTCGTTCAAAACAAAGAAAGAGGGCATTTTAATGAACATCATCCAATGCTATGCGCCTACCAACGACTACAATGAAGACGCTAAAGATCAATTCTACAATAGGCTGCAGTCAATCGTCGAGAAGTGCCCAACAAAGGACCTGACCATTCTGATGGGAGATTTCAACGCCAAGGTTGGAACGGACAACACTGGATATGAAGACATCATGGGACGACACGGACTGGGAGAAATAAACGAAAATGGTGAGAGATTTGCAAATCTGTGTGCCTTCAATAAACTGGTCATAGGTGGCACTATATTCCCACATAAACGCATACACAAAACCACATGGACTTCACCGGATCACTCTACACAAAACCAAATCGACCATATTTGCATCAACAAAACGTTCAGGAGGACGATGGAAGACGTGAGAACCAAGAGAGGAGCTGATATAGCATCAGATCACCACTTGCTGATCGCCAAGATGAAATTGAAACTCAAGAAGCACTGCACAACGGGGCGGACAACATCGTAAAAGTTCAATACGGCCTTTCTTCAGGACACTGACAAACTCAACAAATTCAAGATAGTCCTCAGCAATAAGTTCCAAGCCCTTCATGATCTACTCAATGAAGAAGGAACTACTGTGGAGAGCAACTGGAAGGGGATCAAAGAGGCAATCACTTCAACATGTCATGAGGTCCTGGGTCACGAGAAGCACCACCACAAGGAATGGATCACTGTTGGTACACTGGATAAGATTCAAGAAAGGAGGACCAAGAAGGCAGCGATCAATACCAGCCGAACAAGAGCAGAAAAAGCCAAGGCACAAGCTGAATACACGGAAATAAACAAACAAGTGAAGAGGAGCATCAGAACCGACAAACGTAAATATGTGGAAGATTTAGCAACGACGGCGGAAAAGGCTGCAAGAGAAGGAAACATGAGACAATTGTATGACACGACAAAGAAACTCTATGGAAATCACCATAAACCAGGACGAACAGTGGAAAGCAAGGAAAGAAAGAAAATCACCAACATTGAAGAGCAACGAAACAGGTGGGTAGAACACTTCAAAGAACTCTTGAATCGACCAGCCCCACTGAACCCACCCAACATCGAAGCAGTACCCACGGACCTCCCAATTAATGTTGGCCCACCAACAATTGAAGAAATCAGCATGGCCATCAGACAAATCAAGTGTGGCAAAGCAGCAGGACCGGACAACATTCCAGCAGAGGCACCAAAAGCAGACGTAGAGGCAACTGCAAGGATACTCCACATTCTCTTCAATAAGATTTGGGATGAGGAACAAGTACCAAAAGACTGGACAGAAGGACTCCTGATCAAAATACCGAAGAAAGGCGATCTCAGCAAGTGTGATAACTACAGGGGCATCACTCTTCTCTCAATACCAGGAAAATTCTTCAACAGAGTATTGTTAAACAGGATGAAGGACTGCGCAGACGCCCAACTTCGTGACCAACAGGCAGGATTCCGTAAGGATAGATCGTGTACAGACCAAATCGCAACTCTACGGATCATTGTGGAACAATCAATTGAATGGAATTCATCACTCTACATCAACTTCATTGACTACGAAAAGGCATTTGATAGCGTGGACAGAACAACACTACGGAAACTTCCTCGACACTACGGCGTGCCTCAGAAGATAGTCAATATAATACAGAACTCATATGATGGATTACACTGCAAAATCGTGCATGGAGGACAGTTGACAAAGTCGTTCGAAGTGAATACCGGTGTCAGGCAAGGTTGCTTACTCTCACCCTTTCTCTTTCTCCTGGTGATCGACTGGATCATCAGAACATCAACATGTGAAGGGAAGCACGGGATACAATGGACATCTAGGATGCAGTTGGACGATCTAGACTTCGCAGATGATCTGGCCCTTCTATCCCAAACGCAACGACAAATGCAGGAGAAGACGAACAGTGTGGCAGCAGCCTCAGCAGCAGTAGGTCTCACTGTACACAAAGGGAAAAGCAAGATTATCCGATACAACACAGCATGCACCAATCCAATCACAATTAAAGGAGAAGATTTGGATGATGTAAAAACCTTTATATATCTGGGCAGTATCATTGATGAACCCGGTGGATCTGATGCAGATGGGAAGGTTCAGATCGGAAAAGCAAGAACAGCATATCTACAACTGAAGAACATCTGGAGCTCAAAACAACTGTCAACCAACACCAAGGTCAGGATTTTCAACGCAAATATCAAGGCAGTTCTACTGTATGGGGCAGAAACCTGAAGAACTACGAAAGCAATCATCCAGAAGATACAGGTGTCTATTAACAATTGTCTACGCAAAATACTTCAGATCCATTGGCCGGACACTATTAGCAAAAACATACTGTGGGAGAGAACAAACCAGATCCCAGCGGAGGAAGAAATCAGGAAGAAGAGCTGGAAGTGGATAGGACACACATTGAGGAATGCACCCAACTGTGTCACAAAGCAAGCCCCCACATGGAATCCTGAAGGTCAAAGGAAAAGAGGAAGACCAAAAAAACACATTACGCCGAGAAATGGAGATAGACATGAGAAAAATGAACAAGAATTGGATGGAACTAGAAAAGAAGGCCCAGGACAGAGTGGGTTGAAGAATGGTGGTCAGCGGTCTATGCTCCATTGGGAGTAACAGGCGTAAGTAAGTAAGTAACAACAGTCTCTAATAGGTTAGGTATTATATACAATACTAGTTTGTACGGAGAAATGTATTTGTTTATTTATTTAAATTGTACGTAATAGTGACTAGTAGCGGAATGCAAAGGGAACATGTTGCATTTTTCAGGATTCAATGACTGCATGATGCACCAATGATTAAAATGTTATTCCTAGCAAGCGTGAGACACATTTGGACCATTGAATAATGAAAGCTTCAGTACGGTAGAACGGATTCGACTAATGTTAGTATTGTTGTTGATAATTACAGATTGAATTTATCACTGTCGTTGCCCATCTTTGAACATTTAGATATGTATATTATTAAATACTTGAATAAATAAGTAATTGAGTTATAGTACAAATCGAATCTGTTGTTTATTAAATAATTGATTATAATACTTAGCTATCTTCAACAATATTATTTCAGAATAGAAAAGCAACGTTATCATACTATATCGTTGTTTTTAGATATCTTTTTTGATCGGATGAGTAATTATTTATAAATTTGGTCATGCATACAGCTCATTCACGTTTGCGTATTTGAAGAGAAAAAAAATCATTTTCCATGTATCACAAAGCGATATTAATGTTTAGCAGAAATAAATGAATGGTCAAGATCAAAGAAAACATTATTCGTACAGAAATCAAGGAATTATCGAACTATTTATCCTAGTCAACTACGTTCATTACACAGCTATAAGATAACACAGACTGTAGAAGAACCAGTCCTCCTATTTCCCAGGTTAGTTATATTAGATTTAATAAGGCCCCCATATAACATTTCAAAAACTATGGCTGAGTACAGGTTTTTTTAAAAGGCAGTGAAAACAAGACAGATTTCTAGGGTTTTTTTAATGATTCTATGGTTTATTTTTTAAACGCTATTTCACAAATAAATTTTAAATGTTTAAATCACACAGATAAGTAGATGTTTATGTGATCTGGAAATTCGACAACTAGTTATACTTTGGTTAGATTGAGATATTGGTTGATAGCTAATTTAGTGACATGTTAAAACATAGGAGGAGAATGGAATAATGCTCGTCTGAGCTAAATACCAACCTGAAAGCTTAGATTATGCATTGATTGATCGGCAAATGTTATTTCTATAGTTATTTTGGTAATAAAGAATTACTTAATAGCCTCCTTTCATTTCTATACATTGCCTTTTAAAACAAGAATAATAAACGTCACTCGCTACCAATGTGTCTAATTTGTAGTATGGAATTGATGTTCACTTTTGTAATATATATTTTAACAAAATAATAACAGAGCGGATACCCTGATATATAGAGATCTCTGCCCATTTATCTAAAATGGACTTCCATCACCTTATGATAATAGCAAAACTACCTCACATTATGAAAAAATTCTATGATTCTCTCAATAATGCTTCCAAGTAGTCAGATTTTTGTAAAATTATTCTGAAGATTTATTACAGTTTGAAGGAACCATACAGAGTTGGTTAGTTTCTATTGTGCAGTAAATTAAATTGATTTTTATTAACTGGTAAGATGATGCTTTATTCCTTTAGATGACTTTCATTTTAAATGTTAAATGACCATATGCAAATGAAGTGTATGTTCATGTCGATTAATTAAAGAAGTAGCAATTAAGTGAATATTTTTCGAAGTTATCAGTAGCGATGAATAAATTGAAATAATCACTACAATAGTTTATTCAGGTACGATTGAAAATTTATGGAATACCTGTGAGAAAAGTTATTAAATAAACTGAATGGTAAATAATAACTCAGATTCTTATGCAAACAAGGACGAATGTATGACAAGTAAAAACGTTTAGTCTATGGAATAGTGTAGCGGTCGTAGGAGTAGCCATACGAAATAGTGATAGTTAATTTGCACCTAATACGTATCAGCTCTGTATGTTCTATTTCAAACTTCAAAACCGTCGTTGTTTATTGTTTGAAGCATTAAATGAAACTTTAGAGAACTGAGAAAACTTTCTACACATAACCTAAATGCTAAATTATAAATGAACTGTAATTGTAGTGTCGAAAAGATTTAATCGTCAACCAACTGTATAACACTTCACAGTAAAACGAAAATAATTATTCAAGTTCTACCAATTAGATAATCATATAGTTGTTTTAAAACTAAAACTAAATCAACCTGACCAGACATATATGTATGTCAAGGTTAAACATTCACCATAAAGCAGTGAGGTTGTTGCGGCATATATGAATACTAATAAAGTTAAATCGAATGATTTTGGAAGTGTTTTAAGCACAATATATTCCTATCAAATGTAAATCGTTTTATCTGTAACTTTCAAATAGAAAAACAATAAGGAAAATAAATTACGTTGGACTATTTATGCATTCAGTAATGGAAAGTAGTCATTAAGAAAGTTGGGTTACTACGCTAAACTGATTTCTTTCCTTATTTCAAAAAACATTCATAAAAACATAAAAAGGAACAAACATTCAACAGTTAGAAAAAAATGTGTTTGGTGCCTTCTAGCTATCTCTCTCAGGAAACAACAAATGCGTGGGTGCTTAGAGGGTTAAGTCGAAAAGGAATCAAATTAACCTGAAAATGGTCTTTTTTTAAAGTTTAGAATAAGCCATAACTAACTGAAAGTTATGGACATCATTGTGTGTTGTAGTGTTAAGCAAGGCAGAACGAAGAAAATAATAGAAGTTAAAAAAAACCAACTGAAGTTAAAAAATGTTTTGTCTGATTTGTGACTACCTTCACAGATTCACCTTAATTTAACATTGCCAATTATTCTCGTGAATAAGAATAAGATGTTCAACCATCCAAATACCAAATGTTAATTTATAGTATGCATTAGTAGACTAGTGTACTATTGAGAATACAAGAGATTTAATGTGGACAAGATATGAGCTAGACAAACACTTATGAAAGATTCAGCTCATCCGTATTACTATTCGAATGAACATCAAATATATTTTTATACGATTACCGACATAAGTGTAGTGAATGAAGACATTGGTGGAGAAAACCAATTTATTACTTATTGCGACATCACACAATGCTTTTATAAAATATGAAATCATGTATTAAATACATCATTTGCATATTTTCCTTCACTTGTCCTTTACATACTCCATCATTCGCCCAATCTTGTTGTTATTTCGATTTTCTCTACTTTCCTTCCTCTCCTCTTTATTTCACTCTCTTGTTGATAAGCATTACACATTCGACTGTTGCTACATACTACTTATAGCGCACGCCACATAAGAACAATATTACTTTTTATCTTATTATTTCCTCTAAAAATCACAAAATCGTTAATACTTCACATATATTTTAAGTAAAGTTATATTAAGTTAGTTAAAGCAAACCTGTCTAAATGCTAAATCTTCACGCCTGGCCATCATTTTCTGTACTAACTGACAAACTTTAATCTTTATCTGAAGGGAATGTACACATTCCAAATGACGAACGTACCTATAAAAAGAATTATAAGTTAAGAAACAAACTTTAATGTAATTAATGAATTAAAAGGTAGTGGCGTTATAACGTTAACAGCGATATTCTTAACAAAAACAGATCATAAAAGTACATGCATCCCATAGCATATTGTGTGACTGTAAACACATATGCTGGTTTAATCATGTACATCCGAGTGGTGTATCTGTGGTGATTATGTAGACACCCAGTTCGACCTACCAACAGCGTCCATTTTCCATACAATACGGGGTATCACCGTACTTTACGTAACGATAGGAAAGTTGATATCATAATAGAGTAAAATGTAATACACGTGTATTAATGCTTAAGGATGTTGCATCAAAAAATGGTTCATGAAGAATGGTGTACCTGCCTACTCAATTAAAACCGATAAATCCCTTGATATTCTGTTACATATGGCAAATCACTATACACAGAGACCTATTCTGAAAGAAGCACCGAATACAAAAGTTTAACGCACTACGTTTTACCCAAGGTGTAAGAACATATTTTTGCTCAGTAAGATGCTATCATAAGCTTACTCCAAGCCAGTTACAGTATATTCCAACATTTGGTAGAAACTTGAGGAATCAGAAGTACAAAGTTGCAGCCCAGAGAAACTCTACATTTTGGCTAAAATTTATATATAGCATGAGTATGTTGATGAAATTTTAAATATAATACAATTATATCTTCTATATGACTGTTTCTTTTGATTATTTAGCGAAATTTTTAATTATGTTTGATATAAACAAACCAAGAATATGGAGTTAGGTCACTGTGAGGGTTTAGCCATATATCAAATTCATAAATTAGTCAGTTTGATTACACTGAAATATATTAAAACTTTATTAATCTATAACTACGCTTTTCAACTTTCACCATAGCAGTTTCTAAGCTCCTTAATGAAATGAGACGACGTGTGCTAAGTTTGTTAAGTGTAGTTCTAGTTTCAGATAATGGCTAGAACAAAAAAACAATCCATTTATTCACTTCACTGACACTACCTAATAAAACCACTAATTCACTTTCTAACTTGTTTAACGCATTCACTCGGTATTGTTTAGCTTGTATCTTCCCATCGAGGTTTAAGACTACAATTGATCAGTCTGTTATTGGCATATATGCATACTGTGCGTATGCCTAGATATAGAGAGTTCATCATTTGCGTATGGGCTGTGATACTGCCCGGGTGCCCAAACGGAAGCCGGTGGTTATCTTAGGGGGCCACACCCCGAGCCTTTGACCTAAAGGTTTAACCCACAAGGCAGTGGAGCATCGTAAGGAGATGCAGTCCCATGGCAGCCAGTGACCGAAAACTGGTTCATACGCCATTTGTTCCCGCAGGATACTGGAGCCCATGCACAACATTGGTTTGTGATCCGGTTTCAGCGCCGGACATTCGCTTTTCATCCTCTCATTTTCGTAAACAATACCCTTGCCACGAGAAGACAGTGAGTAATACGTCCCTGGCAGAGGCTGTATACGCGTGGCCGTGTGAGAGTATTGAGAATGGGAGGGCGGACCCGCCCCACTCTCGGGCATACCAGGGAATTCGTATTCCGTCATACTTCGTAGGTTGTTTAAAACCCGAGAAAGATTGACTCGCTAGGAGCAGGCTGGGTTTTGTTCCGGTCGAGGATGTATTGATCATATCTTCACCCTCCGCCAAATGTTAGAACACCGTCATACTTATAATCGGCCAAAAATCATAGTGTTTCTTGACACCAGGGCTGCCTTAGATTCGTTGGACAGGACTGTTCTCTGAGATTGTCTATTGAAGAAGAGTGTGCCTGAAAAGCCTATTAACATCCTAACAGCCCTATATGCAAACACCTCAGGCAGAGTGAGGGCATACAACCACCTCTCTCTGAGCCATATCTGATAACGTCTCTAGCCACTGTGTAGTACCATTTCTAGGACCTCAACCAGGGTGTCGTGAAGAACCAACAGAAGCCAGTCCTTTGCAGCTTTCATTCAACGACACAATGTCATATACTGACCACCTCTCCACTTTTTCCAACCAGTCCCAGAGTCGGCAAATAATGCACGACGTGGAATTCGCTGGGACGACATTCGTAGAACATGTCCAAGCCACCAAGGTCGATGTTTCAAGATAATGACACCAATTGAATTATTGTCGCTGTGCCCGAACACACGATGCTGAACCTCTGCATTACTAACAAGTGTTGCTACTGCATATCAGCAATCCTTCCGAGACAACGATGATCAAACACAAAGAGTCGTTTAACATCCTCAACTCGGAGAGACCAGGTTTCACAAGCATAGAGCAGAACTGCTCTCACCGACGCTTTGTAGATCCGACCTTTTACAGCCAGACTAACATCACGAAGGCGCCAAAGATGGCCCAGATTGGCAAAAGTCGCTCTGGCTTTCACTATACGTGCATTGATCTCATCACTCACGCCACCACCAGCACTTATGCAGCTACCCAGATACACGAACTTATCAACTACTTCTATCTGCTCATCACCCAGGGTGAGTACAGGATTGGAATCCTGCCAGTCTTGTAGAAGTACTTTACACTTGAAAGGTGCGAAGTACATATCATACCTTAGGACACTAACTGCTAAAGGATTAAGTGTAGATTGCATAGCTTAGGCATTATCGCACAGTAAGACAATGTCATCCGCATACTCAAGGTTGAAAAGTCTTTCTCCAGGTAACAGATCCACACCGCCAGTACTTACATCCATCAGAGCTGTTTCCAGAATGTCATCGATGGCAAAGTTAAAGAGCAATGGTGAGATTGGGCAACCCTGCCTAACCCCACTGCTCGAATGGAACAATGGAGAGAGGTGGTTGTATGCCCTCACTCTGCCTGAGGTGTTTGCATATAGGGCTGTTAGGATGTTAATAGGCTTTTCAGGCACACTCTTCTTCAATAGACAATCTCAGAGAACAGTCCTGTCCAACGAATCTAAGGCAGCCCTGGTGTCAAGAAACACTATGATTTTTGGCCGATTATAAGTATGACGGTGTTCTAACATTTGGCGGAGGGTGAAGATATGATCAATACATCCTCGACCGGAACAAAACCCAGCCTGCTCCTAGCGAGTCAATCTTTCTCGGGTTCTGAGCAATCTACGAAGCATGACAGAAGCCAATAGTTTGGACGCAATCGGAAGTAAACTTATCTCTTGATAGTCGTAACAGAGACAAAGTGAACCCTTTTTAAAGATAGTGACAAATATCGACTCACTCCCTGATGTTGGAACACTTTATAACTATCAAACCTTTGTGAATAATTCGGACAGTTCCTTAACGAGAAGGTCACTAGTATCTTTAAAAAGAGCCGGAGGTAAGTTATCTGGTCCCAGTGATTTGTAGCGCTTCAAGAGTTGGGGTTCCTTGTGGACTTCCGCTTCTTAAGGTGGATCAGTCGTCACAGGTTATAAAATGCTGGACAGTTTGATCGATGTTGCCGGGGCAGTAGACCAGTTAACGATGAATTTGTTTGCCACTAAAAAGTAAGGTAAATAAGCGCAAACAAGGGCATGATCAGAGTCCAGATAGGTACTCCAAAACGAATGGACGTTTTGTATACAACCACGCCAGCAGCAGCTGATTGCGATGTGATCAATCTGAGTTCAGGCTTGAGATGCAGAGGGATGACGCCAGGTAGCACATCGGCAATGAATGTGCAGGTAGTTAGCACTAGTCAGAAACAGGTTGTAGTCTGAGCACAGTCGCAGTAGACGGTCCCTACTATCTGACCTGCAACCAACAAGTCCTATCGGACACCCGAAAGACTCTCTTCTGTGCCTAGATGCCTAAACTGAGCATTCAAGTCTCCGGATAGTATTACAATATCTATTGAATGCACTTTCTGTAGAAGTACTTTTAAGTGATGGTAAAACTCATTCTTGATCGCATCCGGGCTGCAATCTGTCGTAGCATAGGCGGAGATGACAAATTGACATAACCACTCATACCGATTTCTTCTTACTTCGATGGGACGTTCTAAGCTAACAGCATATAACCGACTGCTAATGAAGATCAATCGATCAATGATGCCTCAGTTCTAGAACTTAGTGCGACGCTAACGCCAACAAAGTCAGGTGAAATTGCCACAGGGTCGCCGGATGAAATCACGTGAAACAAGAGTCCCGAACCAATGGAAGGAGAGTAAATTTGTAGTACTTCACTAGTCTTGAATACGGGTCTTGGATAGACTATAGGCGTCAATATTAAGATTTTCTCAAGACATAGCCAACTTTATCTGTTGTCTGATTTGCATTAGTGTGTGAACGTTGAAGGAAGCCAGTTAGAATGGTGTACGTGGTTTCAGAAAAATTGTGTCAGTATTCGTATACGGTGGTAGCATTCAATTTTCCACCAGTCAGTGACTCGAGATCGTTTAGATAGAACAGGGTTTCCCCCATAAATTGAGAAATAAGGATTCACAAAGTGAGAATAAAAGAGAGTAGATAAGTGACGTAGTATATAAAAAAATAAAAATAAAAATGAATAATAATTGTCTGAATTTTAATAGAAGCAAGAATAGTATTTCTAGTATTATTTGTCATTTCATTTGATTTGTGTGTGGCCTGTAATACTGCCCTGGTGCCCAGGCCGAAGCAGGAGGTTCAGCCGAAAGCAAAGTATTGAATTTATAGTTGGTTATTAATAGTTTAGACTCAATCATATTAGTGTCGGTGAATGGTGAATAACAAAACAATGTAGCAACCGCTTCTGTGTATGACATACCATAATATTAAAGTAATGTTGATGAGTACAAAACATTTTTACTTCATTAGGTAACAGCCTGTGAACATCGGCTTATTGACCCGCTATGTATAGGTGACAGAAGGTGAAGAATATTTAATTAACTGAATAAAACTAAGCGATCAATGAAAATTCCTCTTCTGTTTTTGTCGAGCAGTCTAATTTTCTTGATGCATATATCTCCCTAATACTGACAAAAAATTTCGCATTACTTCTATATGCCAAGGCTTTATGATAAATGTGAATATTAGAAATATTGTTATGTTTGTTATATACACAAGAAAGTCTACTGCTTCTTAAGGAAATACAAATTCAGTTAATTTGAACTGATAAACATAATACTAATTATTGAAATATGAAAAACAATTTACAAATATTCATTAAAGTGTAATGTTTTTTTCCTAAACAAGGCCAAACTTCAATGCTGTATAAATAAATTTTGTAAAATAAAAAAAATTGATTAATTATTTACTAAAAGTTAGTAGTAGATGAAGAACAACTGAAATATTCGTGTAATATATGTATGAAGTACTACAATTAGATTTTTTTCAGATTGCACTACAAGTTAAGGAGACTATGATTAGCATAGCTTCAATTAAATTTATTTTCTACATCGTTAGCTTGGAAACCCATTAATACATTTATAGCTAGCTGATTATTACTGTTGTTTTTTAAAACCATATAATATGTATTGGTTGAAAAAAAGCTTACAAATATCAATAAAAAGGCCTATGATTAGATCCGATATAATATTCTATAGTTCTATAACATAAAGAATAAACACTATAAAGAAGTGGTATGATGAACTAGTGAGCGATTGAAAAGTATGTTATCTTAAATTTTGATAGGATATAAGATCTATTTTTATATATAATACCTGCTTTAGAAACACGTAAAGTCATATAGTAACAAGAAAGGTGAAAAAGTGTGCAACATATAAAAACAATTTAAATTCCTGAAGATGACATCATATCAAATATAGTGTAAATATTATTAAAGAGTTTCAAACTATTGACCTAACTAACGTTAATAATGAAAACAAAGTTTTCAAAATTCAGTAATTCCTTTAAAGTGAATCTAAAAGAATGATTTGGAATCTATTCAATTTAATTATTTCATAGGTCGTGAAATATTATATTCATTTCATTGTACCTTAAATATTTTATAACATCAGTTTACTTTCTCTCTCTATTGCAAAAGGTTTAATCAAAATTATTCGAGATTAAAAGGTAAAAAGGCATGAATTCATTCAACATGGATATAACAAATAAATGAGCAAATAAACAGATAAACAAATCCATCTTACCTAACAATATTTAACATAAGACTTTCTATACTAACTAATTCTAAATGATCACTTAATCGATCAACCGATTTAGTTCGTTTATCTAATATACTACGCATAATAAAGATCACATTTTCAATAAATAATGTATTGGTTTCTGTGACAACCACTTGTTGTTGCCCTTGTCCTGAAAAACATGCATCCACATGATTACGTAATTGATTGAATAAAATTGGATAAATCAAGGGATTTAATTCATTTCCAATTGATTCTTTAACATGTTTTTGTATTTGATGCCCAAATTTCTCATGTTGACAACTGATAAGCAGTAGAAGATTACCAATAAACCTGTAGACAATAAAAACAACAACAAAAATGAAAAAAAGGGAGTCAAGTAACAATTTAGTCTTATTCATACGTGGAATTACAAAGTATAATAAATTTTCATTGAATTACAAAAATCAAGTAAACAGAAAATGTTAATTAATCAATTTTTACTATGTTATTCAGTAAAATTCAATTTAGTAAAACTTTCTAATGAAGTAGAAGGTAGAATTTACTTCAGTTGAGATATTTACCAATCCTAGAATTAATTTATTCTTGCATTGTTTGTTTGAATCTTCCCATTGATGTTTAGGATTATAATTGATCATTCTGTTTATGGCATATGTGCATCCTGTGCGGAACATTCAAACAAACAATACAAAAAGGATTTTAAACTTCATCCAGTTGCACAAGCTAGTGGCTATGTGAAGTCAGTAGTTAAATAGATAACGCGATGGCATTTGAAGTGAACGGTACTAGGTTGGAGTCGCGGAGTGACCATCAACTCTGGGATCCATGTACATCCGTCGGAGGAGCCCAAGAAACTGGACAGTACGCACGTCCTGGATTCCACTGCTAGCCACCATCCATCTTTGCTTATAATCCAGGAATTGCATACTGTATAGAGAACATAATAGTAAACTAAAAAGTGTCTGCCGATTTACTGAAAAAAAATATTTTTCTCAATAATCAACCACAGTGAACTTTAAGTTCATGTATTCAGCTTTAATGTACACATTTCATGCGAGGGTCTGAAAGTTATACTCGTTTGACTTAGCTGAGGCAGTGTTAGTTCAAACTTATTTGTTAATGAATGAAAGCTAAATGTTTCAACAATCAAGTCACTGCTCCACTCCAAAATCAGTCGAATGTATTAATAACCTGATTCTATAATCAAATTTCACCTACTACATTAGGAAGTTATACTCCATGAATAAATATGTAAGTTGATTGTCTTAACAGTAATAGACACCTTAATAGTCATAAACTGGACTTCTGATTTTTAATTACAGAACATGGCAATGCAGAAACGTAATTCAGATGTACTTCATTGCTATACATAAGGGAAAATCCATCAAACATTGAACCGTAAAATGATTAAACAAACAAATAAATACGACTTACTGAGCAACGGGTGAGAATTGGTTATCTTGATTTAAACTAGACTGAACAAGTGAAAGACGTCTTGCAGCAGTTAATTCACTAAGACAGGCGCCATGAAATGAATGACATTTATGAGATTCATCTGTTTGATCAACATCGTTAGTACTTTTAATAAAATTAGTGCGATGAGACTGTAGGAAATAGTTTGCACGTAGACAATTAGGATCAAAATGCTGATGTACATGATCCAATAAATGCTGAGAGCAATAATGATAATGAGGACAGTGGATTTGTTGAGGTTTGGTTTTGGTTTGGTCCTGTAAATAAGTGAATTTATTTTGTGATCATCTAGTATAGTTCTAATCAAATAGATAATTTTAATCACAAGCTAAACTTGAGTGGAGAATCAATCAAAAAATCGCAGTCAGGACTTGAAGGCTGTCAAAATTCTCGTTAGGTACTCTTCTAATAATATGTACTCGTGACTTCACGTAAGATCGAGTTCAAAACCTTCATGTTTCATGCCGAAAACGATATCTCGCAATTATTCATTTTATATCTTTTTAATTCACAAAAATAACAATACTAAGAGACACTCTTTTGGTCCCGTTATTGAGCTGCTGTCTCACATCTCGACTTCGTTGTAAGCACATGCTATTGCATCAGCCCCAACTTGAACAAAACATTCGTTCACAGCCCCTCTGTTTTAGGCAGTTCGCTGGTGAATTATAGTTTGTGATGAAAAAAGAAATATAACTCTACTATATTTTAGCATTCAAATATCGTAATTGATCATGGAGAAAGTAGACGAATTAAAAAGAAGACAAATTTCAGGTAGCAGTTCCTACAAGAAAATGTTTATTTCATATATATCTTATGTTTATTGATATAAAGTATAAAAAGGCACACCATTTACACGAATTATATACTAGATGATAATGAAAGTATTGCTTTATAATAATTCAACTATTCTCTGATGAAAATGATTACAAGTTTGCAAATTCAGTAACAAAACATTGTGTAGAATAATAATCCGTCAGTCGGTTACTCGCAGCGAAAAACTTAGTACGTATTCACATCGAATATTAGAAATCAGTGAAATGTCTTTGAACATTTATGTCAATAGACTTCAAGTCCATAAGATTTGTTGATAATTTAAAAGGAACTAATATTCTATAAAATACTTCAACATACATAACTCATCCGTGTATAGTTAGAGATATTCTAACTGAATAACTATAGTAGAATAAAAACTTTAAAAGCTGATTTAAGTTTAATTAGTACTGAATAAAGTGTAGCAAGAAATCTGTAATAGGGTGTTTTGATGATAAATAACATAATTAAGATTCAATAGAAATTTGAGCGACTTAGAAGCAATATTTTAAATAGTATGGAAAAACTTGTAATACTATAATAATCAAAATAATGGGAAATTTAAGCATCTAATTTAGATTGTGGATTCTATCATTGTAATGATAACAGTACTAAAAAAGATCAAACACCGCAGCGCACTTCAACACAACTGAACAAGCAAACATGTAGAAAAAAGAAGAAACTATGAACCAAGTGATAAAAACATACTAAACATACACATGAATAACCCGATGAAGCTATTTGTGAAGGAAGTGAAGAAGATCCTTGAGGTAGTGGTGGTATATTAAGTGCTACGGAACCTAGTGCACATAAAAATCCAGTCATATTTGCCCATTCATTTAGTACATCTTCAATTTCATGGTCATTTACTGGTGACTGTTGACTGACACGACGTTTAACAGCCAAATAACGACTTGTACCTGAACTTATAGCACTTCCAGAGACAAATGAACTAGTCCCAGTAGAAGCACTTGACACAGAAACTCCACCAGTATTATTTGCTATCGTTAGAAGCATTCCGGTAGAACCTAAAGTAAGTGAATTATTTCAAATAAATTATATTTCAATGAATTACCTTGGGCAGAAGAAAATCCATCTATATTCATTCCAGACGCAGCCGTATCCACTTGATTAGATAAAGAGTCTAGACCACTAGGTATAGACGCAGAATTACCCAGTGATGCAGATGAAAATCCGCTCACTGAATTATTATTAGCTGAATTAGCAGTGGTATCATAACAAGAGTCTTCAGTTCCGTTTGATGGGACGGAAGCTTTTGATTTAGGATAATTTATTAGAAATTTTGTACTTCTTAGCCAAATCATATAAGTATGTTCCCAGGCCTGTATGTAAATGAAAAGCAGTTAAACATTAGAAAAGTAATAGAAAAACATGTTTATAAAACTATATGACTGTAAATATTCACTTTTTGAAATAAAACGATAAAAAAGTGTATATCGCATATATCTAGCTTGTACTTTTGGTTTAAAAGTAAGTCAAACTTTGTTCAAATCCATGAAATTCGTGACATATTTTTATGCCTACAGTCGGTGATTTGATAATTATTTTTCTTAAAATACGTAACTAAGAAATACAGAGTAGTAAAGTAAGGATAAGTAGAGGGTTCTAGTGAACTGAATTTGGTGGAAGCCTAACAAATTCAAAACTATTATCAATCACTTGGTTTTTCTTATTAATTTATCAGTAACTTATATTGGCTGTTCATTTTTGTAGACTTTCTGTGCTCATGAAATCGATTACCGGAACTGAATAAATTACAGAAGATTAAAATTCTGACAGACTGACTGACTATTTATATAAGGTGAATCAAGACCGCTACTTACATAGGAAATATTCAGACAAGATAAAATATCTTTGATAATTGTCAGATTAAAAAGAATTATTCAACGATGGAAATAGTCTCAAGAAATTTATATATAAGGCTTCACTTCTACGTTATAAATGAAAGACGAACTTTCATGAAGAAATATATTTATTAGTAATGTTTCAAACAGAATGGCCATAAAATTGCAGGAACCTTGTAATAAATTATAATTGATCAATGTTGACCTCTGAACTTGGATTAATGGAAAAAATAAACAACTTTTTGAAGTTTTTGCTAAGTACACATGAGCTTTACTTTAAAAGGAATTAATATTTTAACAAAATAAATCAAAATACTAAAAGCAGAGATAGTTTATTTATGGTCAAGTTGGTCTCTCCAAACTTTACCAAGAAGAGATCAGATAAATATCAATTATTTATGTATTAAAATCTTTAGATTGGCAATAGATAACAAATCATAACAGATATATGGTAGAATTGGTCACAGAACTCACAAGCTTATTTCCTTGGGTTTGATGATTTATTTTTCTTAATAAAGCTAGAATTTGTTTTTGTAAATGCGCACGTCCTGTAGTGACAATTGAACGACTGTGATCAGCAATCTCAGCATACACATTGTAAACAGGTAGAAGATCTGGAAGCCGGAAGTCAGTGAAAGCCCACTGAGCTGGTAACGACCATGAACATGACTTGTCTGATGGACTAGTTGTATGGAGAATAGGATTTATAACTTTGGTCGATGTTTGAGTAGAGAAGTTCGTTGTACTGTCATCAGAATATTCAGAACAAAATGTTGGATTACTGTCTGAATTTAGTGAGGTACTGAAACTAGAATGAGAGCTGGAGTCGTGGATAGACCGGGAGACAGCAGGGTTACTACCAACATTGGTGTATACTGGTAGATAGCTTACTGGGGTGCAAAGAGGACACCCACAATTGCATAAAGCAATACAAGATCCTGAAATATTAGGACGAGTTCGGGAATCATTATCATATAATGTTGAAGGGTTTTGAAAGCGTACACATGTACTTTCAGGCGGAGTACTACTAGATGAAGCTGACGAAACTACGAGTTTATAGTTAACTGTAGGTGGAGGTGACTTTCGGATCAAATCACTATGGTGTAGATTTGTTGTCAATACAGAATTCTCTGCCCAATCTGATGTTTCTGCGGAAGAAGGAGCTGATAAATTAGGATTTACCAAATAACACTCACAATCAGAACGCTGTACAAACTCGTTATCTGGAACAGAAGTAATTGTAGCTAAAGTTGCAGCATTACTCCAAAGTTCAGCTTCTTGACACAATAGACGAAAACAAGACATTGAAGTCAAAACAGCTTCTAAATCCAGTGACCATAGGTAAGTAAAGAATACTGTTTCTAGTTTAATAAGAGCCATCTGATTTCGTTTTGGATTAATTCCTAATGGCCCTAGAAATGGGCTTAAACATGGAGTGTTTTGAGAATTCATCTTTGAAGAAGGCGCTGGTCCAATATACACGCCACCATCTGTATAACTCATATCTAGATGAAATAAAAGATGAATTTGAAAGACGTGAATACGAACTACGAAATATAAAAGTTTATGGTTACTAAAAAAGAAACTGAACAAAGTGTTTCCTTTATCATCTGATTGGCCACTGGATTAGAAGGAGCTCAGAGATTAAAACGTCAATGCCTTGGTTGTTCTTTTTTTGGCAGACTTGCCAACTGGTAAACAGCCGGCTCTCACACTGGCAGCATAGGTGAACTAGTTGTGATCGGACCGAAGAGAAATCATACAACTGCTTTTCCATCATTACAGCCAGATGACAAGGGACCCAATACAACCCAAGGTAACCTGTTTGCCGTCATAGCAGTTTATTTTTTCTATCTATTTGAATTTAAATCAGATATCTATTGAATGGTATTGTTTATTTCGAGAAAAAATAAACTATTTTTGTACACTTCTAGAACTTCTTGGTCAATAACGTGCTGTTAAAGAGAATACAGTGATCGTAGAAGAATAATATGAATTCATTGATTTCATGACCTATAAAATAATTAATTATTTAAAAAGTGTAAATAGTTTATATCATAATATCAGAAATGTTTTGATCACTGAATATTATTAAAAAGAGGAACAAATACGGAAGAATTGTAAAAAGGGTTCGCACAGTTGAATATATCTGTTAAACAATGTGAATATCCCAAGAAGGAAACTTTAGAAAACATGGTTATTGCATAATCGATGTTGACAGTCACGTAATAACAACTATGAAAATAGAATAATCAACATAGTGAAATACGTGAAACTCACATAAGACATAAGAATAGGGAAAAGGAATTACAGTTGTGAATACGAAGACAAATATTGTGTAACAGTATTAGAAACTGAGGTCAGAATAACAACGCGATACTGATGATAGGACATTTTTGTCACCTCGTCAGATAGTGTCTCACTTTATATTTAGAAGTCACTACTCATCAGAAACTAAATAGATCAGCACTAGAAACTAAACATTGAGATATTAGTTTCACTGTAATGACTGTTCTGTATAAACAGAAGATTCAATAAATAAAAATAAATAAATAAATAGAACGCAAATTCATAAATTAATATGACTAACTTGAATATGCGTTTGTTTGCATATAGTTTGCAGCAGTAGATAAGCTAGATCCAGTTGTTGTCGCTGTCGTCGCTGCTGCAATAGAACTAATTACACCTGTAGTATTTGTGCTTGTAGTTATATTAACATCCCCAATAATTGGTATGTTAGATGTCAACAGACCCCGTGTACAACATCCTGGTAGATTTGCATAATCACAATGCTGTTGAAGAAACTTTATACGACAGACAAGAATCTCTCTTAACCATTTTAAAACATCACATGAATTAGGTATATTACGATTGATTAATTTCTGAGCAATACTGTATAGAAGTTGTGGACTTAAAAAAACCGGAAAGAAATATCATTAGACGAACAAAATGTAAATAAAAGTAATGAAAGAAAAATGTCTAGACAGTGAATATTTTACCACACAAGCTGTCAACTTTACACAGATTTTATTTCTCTGGAAACCAAATTTATGACCTACAGGGGAAATTATTTTAGTGATAATATTTCGTAAACTTGTCTGTGTTTCAGATTTTTGAATTTATGTAATATATAGTCAGATATAAAAGGACACTATGATCTATGGAATAGTATATGTTCGACGTGAGCGCATTCTAATCACATTTTGAAAAAAAGTTACCATTAACTGATAAAGTTATCAAAAGTATTATAAAAATGTATTGGGTATATAACTAAAAAAAGATCCATTATTCTATCAATTAGGAAATATATAATCATATACGATGGTATTTAACGAATAAAGGAAAGTACAGAGACGAGCCAAATAGAATTGAGAAAACGACTTTCCTAGGTCTAAACAATGACCAGAAGCAGTGTAGGACTGAAAGTAAAATAATTATCACCCTATAAGTGTTTGAGAAGACGCATTTTCTTAGTTATGTGAACCGATTTACTTGTCATTGCTTTTTCTATTCACAGATAGTAAAACCTGTAGAAGAATTCAATAGATCCATACATTGTGTTAAAAGCTTTGTAATATCATTGCATTTTTAATACACTATTCATCTACAATAACCGTTTTCAGATTAGGCACCAATCAGCTTAAAGTCACGGTAGCCATATTGAAAAATTAGCCAAGCTGATCCCATTACTGACTAATTCGACCCATATGATTGAGCCGAATAGTCTCTCAAAAAGAATTATTATCCGAAAATAATAAGTATGTTAAAAGATAAGTATTATTTCTTGTTTTTGAACTATATTACAACAATCAAGAACATATCGTGTCAAGTTATATTCAAGTAAAATGAGTTATAAAACTAGACAACCGACAAAAAGCTTTGGAAACTATCGTGATGAATAACCTTACACAAACTATTCAACAGGATTGACCGACAACATCCATTGACACAAGAAAAATTAAATGATGAGGATATAAAACCATGTATCATATTATTTATGATGGCAATCGGACAGAACTTCATAAGTGTTTTAAAGCTTCATTATTTGTATGAACATAAAGTTGGTCAAAAGAAAATCACTGAATCATTCAGCTACGCATAAAATTCTACGATATATATATATATATATATATATATATATATATATATATATGCATACCTTATTTCCCAAAACGCTTGAGCCGGTGAATGTAAATTCCATAATCTTATATTAGCTGGTTGGTGAAGACAAAGTAAAGCATCCATTGCTTCCTGTGCTAAGTCAGACATAATAGATTGTTGTATTAAAGACATTAAACCATTCATTAAATCAAATGTTGCTTTCTGAGCATCTGAACTTGAACGTGTCTGCGGACTCTAAATATGATAAACGCCAAACAGTTAAAAAGTATCGATAAGATATTTAATATTAAAAACCACTGATGGATATACTTTTAAAGTAAAAACAAAATCAGAACAGTCATTTGAAGAAATTTTTCACGGAGACCATTGAAATTTTTGGTTAATATCAATAACTTATATGACTAATTTTGAGAAGGGATTCGAGTAAGAAACTGTAACAAGTGGATTTTAACCACGTAAGGAGACATTTACCCACCAAGGTCATTTAATGGTGCCTTCACAATATTCCAGGCTGAATAAAGTTTAAAGAGGAAGCCGGTGAACCGCAAAATAGTGGCTTAATGGTTAACTGGTCTCCACAAAACCTGTAGGTCCTGAGTTTACTCCTTTTCGAGATTGAAGATGAGCACGTGTCAAAGGTCTTAAACTAGGACGACACAGATGCCTAGCGCTTCCTATCTTCATTGATCATCTAAATAAAGTCTGTCTCTGATGTTAGCCCCAGTGACCTTAGTGCTTGTAGAAGCACATCGGCCACTGAATGTTTAATTCATCTCAGTACTATTACATGGCTCATCAATAATAATATATTTTTAGGATGCTCATTATAAATTTATTTATAAAATTAAAAGGTAGGATTCCTTCAATTTCTATTTCACTAAAGCGTATATTTATGAACAACAAGTTCACTTCCATTTCACTTATTGATTAAAACCTCTACAGTATACTACAGAATAAAATATAAAGACACAACTTAGTATCTAAGTGGAGATCAGTCTGACAGATTTCCAATGTCAGGAATTGTCTCTATCAGTACATTGAAACAATTAAATACTGTGTTTTGTGTAATCCAGTGAATATTCAATCCCCCTTTCATGGTTGCTATCTATATACTTAAACCTTATGAAGTGGATACAATTTCAAAATCACGATGGATTGGTTAAGTGTCAAATGATTAAAGTAATTGGTAACTAATCTACAGCAGAAAAATTACTCAAAATGCATTAATCACTATTTAGCGTGCAAATAACAACTGTACTGTCTATTCAACAATTCGAAATAAAAATTGTATTACTAGTAAAAAAAATAAACCTCTTTCAGCAATTCATTCAGAGGTAAGAGATTGCGTAACGTGTTTTAATTTTATTATATACTAACTTGCTACTAATAAATTAGTTAGAGTTAGTGGTAACACACGTAAATATAGACGATAAACATAGATATATTAGATGAAATGTTAGCAGTAACACAACTTACATAAAGCATTAATAATGGATTAGCATTCAGTAGACGAACCATATTTAGTAGTAAATTATATTTACTCATTAAATTATCTTCAGTTTTGTCTTTGTTTTTTAAATTCATTTTATCTCGAAATGTAAGACTCTAAAGGAAGAACAAGGAAAATAATATACAAAATGATGTATTGAAACAAGGAGTTTGTGGAGACTGTCATAAATGAAGTGTGATTTCATAATTGGCTAATATTAGCTAGAGAATTATTGAAAAATTCAAAAATAAATCTTAACAGTTGCTTATACTTTGTTTCGGCACTTCTTGAGCTTTATCAATTGACCGATGATTCAGGGTGAAATTTTTCATACATCTTATGATAGATGTACCATAAGATTTCGAATTTATGCACTGCTAATTAGTCTCAAACTAGAACAAATAAACTGTGTAGTGATGTTGGATTGTTAATAATGTACTTGCTTATGGCAGTGTGCGATGAATGTTAATCTCAAAACATTATATTAGCACGATATATGTGTCATTGTCCGTGAAACAATAGTCTAATACGGAAAATTTAACTGATCACTTGATTGATCTATTAATCCAGATCTAACTACTAACCATCCATAGACTAATCACTACTGTTTCTTGAACAATAATTTATGATGACTGAATTGACGTATGCCAGAAGAGATTTCGTGTCCGTCACATGTTTGTACAATATATAAATCGTCGTGATTTATAGAGTACACCCAATAGATCTGTGTATGCTTTTCTATTTCATTTTCGATATTTATGATTGATTCAACCTCTGTTAGTAAGTGACTTTTTGAATTAATATCTACTACCAAATCCCTAGAGGGATGTTTTAGATGGTGCACAGTATGATACATTTTTCTACCTATTTAGGACTTGTATATTGTACCTAGTGTCATGTTAAGTGAGGCTGAAATTTATCCACCCAGTAGAAATGTCGAAAACTCTCTAGCATGTGAGAATATGGGTACTGAGTTCAAATCTTAGTAGGAATATACGGAAGATTATTTCAAAATAGGACTAAACGTGTGTTCTAATATATATTCAAGGAACAATGAAAAACTTAGTTATGCATCATGTTTTAGGAGTTAGCGTTTGAATGAATGACTACCGACGTTCGGGTACGATTAAATGAAACCTGAATGCATTATTTTATCATGCTCTAGTTAGAGAACCGAAATTCCAAAACTTCAATAAATAATCTGTGTCCCTTAGGTAGTAGCATCAACAATATTATTAAGAAACATGAATAGTACTTATCATTAAACACGTATAGTTAATGACAAACTAGATAGAAATTTGAAGCGTATATGGGCAGTTGTTCAAATGACTTGGATATAGTTGGTCAGTTACTGGTGCCATATCACTGTAAGATATACGTGCTATATGTAACACATCACATTACAAATATAATAAATGTTTCCCATATGTTTCTAAAATAGGGTTGAAAGAATCCGAATTATTGATTTTTAGTTTACAAATAATAAGAAAATATCCCGTTTATTTTTCCTACCATATAATATCATCAATACGAAAACTTATTATTTGTTTATGTAAGATCAGGAAAACAAACAGATAGTCAATCGTGTGCAAAAATTGAGAGAATTATTATGTTCTTCTGATAGTGAAGCAAAATTAAAACGTTATTCATAAATGCATAAAGAATAAACCTATGTATGTGCTTGTATGTATATTTAATTGGAATAGCAACATGTATACTAAAATAATTATAATCAATCATCTTTTGGAGAAAAAGAAACATTATGAAATAAGCAATTAATAACATGTATAAAATTACGATAAAAGATTATTATTTTTTTACGCATTGTAAGTAAATTAATCACAATGAACAATTATCGTAAATCAACATTAAATAAAGTTATATAAGGGATAATTATTATTAAGTTTCATAACGGACTGTTACTAGCTGGTGGACTCCTGAGAACCAGGAACTACAAAATAGTTGTTTTGACCGACTCCGAAACTCATCAGAAGTAAACATTCAAGACTCAAACAGCGATAGAGCTTACAACCTTTTCACCTGGCATCTAGAATAATATTTTTATAAAATTCGGCAAGATCCAATGATCTATATTTTTAATTTTAGTCATTTTGTAAAATAATTAGATGAATATCCCTTGTTCAATTAAGACAATTCCTACTCAACCCGTGTCATAATAATAAATAAATTTTTACTAGTAACCGTTATCAAAAGAATTCTCAAAGCTCTAGTGAAAAGCTGTGATCAATGAAGACCGACCATGTCCGAAATAAAATAGATATCACTGACGGGACCCGATGATTGTTACTACATATTTCGAATTGATCAAAAATATAAATGTAAGCAACTAAATTCCATACATTCTAAAATTATTAAAAGTACAAGAAATAGCTTTTCGTATTCTTCAGTTTGTAATGATTTGTTTCATATTAATCCATGATGAAAACCAGTCTTCAATGGGAAATGTTCCATATCGCCTTTCCATCAAATGCGAATGGTTGGTGTACTTCGTGTTACATTTGAGAATCTTTCTTTTTCCTTTGTGTATGTTGAAGCCTACTGATGGAGAGGCTTCTGCTACACTAGCTGTTTTCATCTGAATTTGCTCGTGTATTTGGGATAGAAGGGCCAGGTCATCTGTGAAGTCTAAATTGTCTGGATGCATGCAAGCTGCCCATTGTATTCCGTGCTTCCCTTCAGATGTCGTGGTCTTTACAATCGAGTCAACCACCGGAAGAAACACGAAGGGGAAAGTAAGCAACCTTTCTGACTCCGGTCCTTACTTGGAATGTATCTGTCAGCTGTCCTCCATGAACGACTTTGCACTGCAGTCCATCGTACGAGTTCCGGATAATGTTGACAATCTTCTCATGAACTCCATAGTATCGAAGAAGTATCCATAATATTCTCCTGTCCACACTGTCAAACGCCTTGTCATAGTCAATAAATTTGATGTATAGTGACGAGTTCCATTCAACTGATTGGTCGATGATGATCCATAGTGTCACAATTTGGTCTGTACACGACCGATCCTTACGGAATCCATAGAAAGGTCTGTAGGTGCTGTTTTGGAGTCTGGAAGAATCAATAGAGCTGGCCTATTTAAGGGTTTCTCAAGGTTTTCTACTTAACTGTTCCTGCGTTCTTAAATCTCAGTGATTGGCTTACTTCCCTTGTCCTTGACCGGTCTCTAGAAGAGCTACAATCTAAAACAGTTACTTCACAGTAATTATACAGGATGAAAAACAAAAGCATTTTGAGTAGATCCGATTACGACTGACATCTTAACTTGTTTGATAAATAAAATGAACATAAAATAACCATCACTTCTAAAGTTATTCTTCATTAAAATATATTTTTCTATATCATAAATAAAAAAACTTACTTGAGTTATTCGAATTGGTGGATGGTGATTTACACGATTTAATGTTTCTAAGAACATTGAACGAATTTCTGTGGATTTCGAATAAAACGGGCTAACATCGGGCCACCATGCTAGACGTGACTGAAGAACAAAAACAACATATGCAAAAATTGTATTTTATTAAATTATAAGAAATTAAAAAGTTTTGTTAATATTGGGGGTTTATGGAGACTGTATTCAACCTTGATAAGATTACTTCATTAAATTAAATATTGTTTAACCAATAAGCTTATTCATTTAAAAAAAAGCAAATTTCAGTTATCAATAAAGATTAAATAAGAAACGGAACATATAATCACGTAAATAATATATATCTCAAGGAGTAAAATATGAAATAGAAAATTTATATCAATAGTTGTATGTTCATTAATAATTCGTACCAATATTTACATTTTTATCTTTGAATACTTTCAAGTTCAAGTGTTCAGATCGATAATAAAGATGCTAACAATAAACATTTATTGGTTACAGCTAGTTTAAAAGATAATACAGAAAACTAAAATAAAACTACAAAAAAGATAGACACTTTTTTCATTGAAATAAAGATTTTGTTTATAGAATGCTACAGTTGTCATTCATTAAGCTATAATGCCCTATATTGAACTATAATGATATTTCAACAATGTTATCAAAATAAGGTGACCTTTAGGACTTAGTAAAAACCAAAATCAATTCAGGATTTCATATATTATTAAGTAGAGGATTTGTAGGGATTTTTCAGTTTGAATCTAATATTTTGAACAGTCAAATCATTTCTCTCACTATGAGGCCTAAAATTCCTGAATTTGGCACTGGGTGTACTGATGGGTGAACACCGTTAAGAAATATCAAAGTGAGACGTGTAATATATCCATCGTTAAATAATCTAAAAATGGTTCCCTGATTGATGATAATTCAGGAGAGAAATTAATATTATCATGCAAGACCTAGGCAAATAAATACTGTCTAGTTAACAAGTAGCGTTATCAATAAATATATCTTTATGTTCGCTGGTCACTGTAGCTTTATAATATATGATTCAAGGTATGCAAATAACTAACTCAGTTTTCATTTATCGTTCTAAACTACTGACCGTATTACTCAACGATCTCAAAGGAGACGGAATTACATTATTCTAGCAGTATCTACAAAAATGTACTGATAGCCCTTTCCTTTTAAACAGTCATCATCACTTCAACCAGTTCGATAAGAAATTAGGACAGTATACCATAAGTCTGGGGATTTAAACCAATGAATTTTTTAAACATATAACTGATTGGTAATAAAGAGCTAAAATATCATCATGATAGGTGGGAATGAAAATAATAACAAGGATTTAATTCGGATGGGAAAGTAAATAAGTGCTGAATTTTTAAAAAAGCATTAACAGAAAATATTATGCTGGGAGATTTTTAAAATCTTAAAGGGTGAAAGATTAAAATTTGAATATATTTCTTCTCAAGTATGATTTATTTGTAAATTTTAAAACTAAAAGTCTTCCGAAAATATATTTTTCAGAATCCGGTAGATGCGTTATGTTTAGGAGACGGTTTTCTTAATTATTCGTATAAAAATATGTCATTTGAATAAAAAATGAATAGGTAAAACCATAATTTATGAACGACCTTTGAACAAATCTTAAGTGAACTTGGGAAATATAAATCAATCAGAAAATAGTCAGTATATAGTAAAAATATGATACAAAACCAAAGAATTAGAGTGGATACACATTTTTACATGGTTTAAAAACTTTTCAAGGTCAGAAAGAGGTTTCGAGGTTCTGAAATCGTAATGCATACGAAACATGAAATTATCTATGTTTCCACAATAGTCAACCTCTGGAGCCATGATAAGGTCGCGAAACTCTTTCAGCCTCAACCACATAGCTTCAATATTGTTTGTATGCACTCCGGTTGTTGAGTCCACAAAATGACGCTTGTGGATGACAATAAGATGCACACAATCAAGTACATGTAAGGATTGGTACGCTCTTTAACCATCCGTATATATTGTAGTAGCCGACTGTACATATTCCTGTATAATTGGTATTATCGTTGTAGCATGTCAGTTTCTAACCCGTTGGAAGTGTCCCTTTTAAGATGACCTGTCATGTATTCCAAAGACCTGTGAGGCCTGTTTATGGAAGTGCTACTTACTCAGTCTTATTTAACACTATCACCTCTGTTGAATTTTGATTTTCTGACGACCGTTTCGTCTTTTTTAACGATTGTCTCGAATCCCCCAAACCACGTGCGCAAGCTTGACAATTTTACTGCACATATATCTCCATAATACTTCTACAACTGAACAGCCGAAGCTTCAGTAACATCTGAAAATGTTTTAGCCAACGTAACTGCTTTTATTATCCAGTTTGTAACAATTATCATAATTTGCCTTAGTTTCAAACTGGATCAAGCGAAAAAATCCCATTCTAGCAGACTTTTTTCTCTAACATATATTACGTCGAAAGGGCCCGCAAGTCATTTGATTACCACAATCACAAAAATAAAGGAACTTCTTAACAACCCCATTTGCTGTAGCCGCTCAATTATAACGTCTTCCCTAAAATCCGCTGTAAACCAATCGTACGTGAGCATCAGGTACTGAAATAGTCTCCGTGACCTTAAAATCCCTCAAACGCTTCCGATTGGTTCGTCCATAAATTATAGTCTCGCCAATATGGTACACGCTTTCCGAAAAATAGTTATTCAAAAACGTTTCTATGAAAGTAAACAAGAAAACTTGACAAACGCCTGAAATAAGTGAACTTAGAGAATGTCCTAGGTTCATTTAGCTAGATTTTTTCAGTAGTTTCATATCTAATATTATTAATCAAGGAATGATTTCAATACTTAAAAAAGATATTTGCGGCGTTGAAACTGGTTCATAATGTAAAGTAAGATGTCTAAAAAGATATATGATCTTCAACGCTGTTGACGGATATGTGTGTCCATTCAAAAATAAGTACAACAGTAGAACAAAGAAAATAGTCTTCAACTGATTATTTTCTCATAAATCTGTCCCAGGTCATCAAACAGCAGAAATAGTTTTTCTTTATTTCATATACTGTACATTATGTATGGAACAAACTACAAAATTATAAATGCTCGGTATAATTCAATTAGAATGGAGTTCATAGTATCCTTATCATCGTGGTTAAAAGAAAGAATGCTCAAACTACATCTATTAAAAAGACTTATAGTTGGTGTTGATAAATTTCCTCCATTATCACTCTTTTTTCTGTTGCACTAAACACGGTCAAAATAAAATGAACTCAACTCAATTTTGTAGCTTTCATTTTATTCCGATCCTATGGTTTACTGCTGGTTCGTTAGTTTACATAGTGAATTATTCTTAAGAATATGGTTGGAAGATCAATCTGATTTATCACAAAACTTTAAAATATTTCAACAATATTATATAAAAACTTTTTCTTTCTGTTCGTTCTGCGTTTTGTCAGTGAGTTATTTACTATACACTGTTAGTCTATCCTTACATTTATTTGTTTTAATAAATTTATTCCTGATAGTCGTTAGGCAGCTAAAAAGAAAGCGAAAAAGCGCAAGCAACATGCATTACGTTTCATGTATGTGAAATGAGTTATCAGTTGTTTCATTTATTAAAACTATTTATAAAGTACGTCACTATGTACAAACTAATATACTAATAAAGTTCAGTTATTTTATCTCACTAGTACATTGAAGTGGTTCACCGTTTGCCAAATAATCTTCAAAAAGAAATTTATTTAGTAACAAATGTTGATAAATTAATGAGTATTCCAGTGGCAGGATGTTCGATTTACAGGGATATATAAATTCACATTTTTGTGATGCATCTAATCTGATTCATATACGCATTTTTAATGGTTTGTTCATCTGGTTTGATTCACATCAATTTCAGGTTTTCATATCCTGCTGTTATAATCTCTTTCTTACGGTATGACCCAGCTATTCCTATTGCTTAGTATTCTTGGACATCAAATCACTCGACATGAGATATCTAGAGTGTTCACTAAGTATTGACTAACGCTGATTGGCTAATTCTTGTGCATTGAGCATGCTTTAATCCAGTCTGTGTCCCGCTAACACCTGCCCACATATATACATAAACTCAAATTTTATTTGGAAGACACCAGAAAGAACCTACCTGAGTAATTATACGATAAAGTCCAGATACTAGCACAGTATGATAAATAGCCGGTGATGTTGTTTGTAAGCAAACTTTGAGAAGGTTTTTATTATGTGGTGTTATACGAAAATAAGCAACGAAAAATTCCGTGAGTAATGATTCTGTTTCTGCTAAATTTTGATTGTTTCGTAGATATGGTTTATTTGGATTGAATAATAAATTCTACAAGATATTTTGATATTTATATAAAGATAATGAAATTGAATTAATGAAAAAGTTTATCGCTAAACTGGTAAATAATCAAATGATTACTAAAAATTTGTTTGGTTATACTTTAAATTTTTAATAACCGCTACCAGGAAAGATTATTAGAAAGACAGCTAAATAGGAAAGGCTAGTTACACATCTAACAAAACCCATACAGTGTTTCAACTGATAAAAATAGACCGGACTTATTTTTATGACACTATTATTCAAAATATCAATGGGAGGTACAAGAGAAATATATGAGAAGCTTTTATAAGCTGATTCAAAAGAGAAATTTTTTTGTTGTATTTTGATGGAAATTTCTTCCATTTTAATGTGAATAAAGTAATTCCTTATATTGTATGATGGTAAGAAATTTCATATTTCTTGTTGTTCAGTTTTGAAAAAGTATATAAGGTAACGAATTAAGATTACAAAACTTAAATTTATCTACACGAGAACATCAGAAATTTGCATCTATAACTGGATCATTTCTGTAACATAACGACTGACAGTTTCTGAATCACCGCGATTTGATTGTCGTAGGGTACAGATCGGTGCTAAGAGGCCTATAATATTTATATCAACACTGATATCATACAAACTGAAATGTTGTTTATACCTTGTAATATCATGTAATATTTCAACATGAAAACTCCCATTTCTACCCACTGACTCATACTTACTTACTTACTTACTTACTTACGCCTGTTACCCCCAATGGAGCATAGGCCGCTGACCACCATTCTTCAACCCACTCTGTCCTGGGCCTTCTTTTCTAGTTCCATCCAATTCTTGTTCATTTTTCTCATGTCTATCTCCATTTCTCGGCGTAATGTGTTTTTTGGTCTTCCTCTTTTTCTTTGACCTTCAGGATTCCATGTGAGGGCTTGCTTTGTGACACAGTTGGGTGCATTCCTCAATGTGTGTCCTACCCACTTCCAGCGCTTCTTCCTGATTTCTTCCTCCGCTGGGATCTGGTTTGTTCTCTCCCACAGTATGTTGTTGCTAATAGTGTCCGGCCAATGGATCTGAAGTATTTTGTGTAGACAATTGTTAATAGACACCTGTATCTTCTGGATGATTGCTTTCGTAGTTCTTCAGGTTTCTGCCCCATACAGTAGAACTGCCTTGATATTTGCGTTGAAAATCCTGACCTTGGTGTTGGTTGACAGTTGTTTTGAGCTCCAGATGTTCTTCAGTTGTAGATATGCTGTTCTTGCTTTTCCGATCTGAACCTTCCCATCTGCATCAGATCCACCGGGTTCATCAATGATACTGCCCAGATATATAAAGGTTTTTACATCATCCAAATCTTCTCCTTTAATTGTGATTGGATTGGTGCATGCTGTGTTGTATCGGATAATCTTGCTTTTCCCTTTGTGTACAGTGAGACCTACTGCTGCTGAGGCTGCTGCCACACTGTTCGTCTTCTCCTGCATTTGTCGTTGCGTTTGGGATAGAAGGGCCAGATCATCTGCGAAGTCTAGATCGTCCAACTGCATCCTAGATGTCCATTGTATCCCGTGCTTCCCTTCACATGTTGATGTTCTGATGATCCAGTCGATCACCAGGAGAAAGAGAAAGAGTGAGAGTAAGCAACCTTGCCTGACACCGGTCTTCACTTCGAACGACTTTGTCAACTGTCCTCCATGCACGATTTTGCAGTTTAATCCATCATATGAGTTCTGTATTATATTGACTATCTTTTGAGGCACGCCGTAGTATCGAAGATGCTTCCATAGTGTTGTTCTGTGCACGCTGTCAAATGCTTTTTTGTAGTCAATGAAGTTGATGTAGAGTGATGAATTCCATTCAATTGATTGTTCCACAATGATCCGTAGAGTTGCGATTTGGTCTGTACACGATCTATCCTTACGGAATCCTGCCTGTTGGTCACGAAGTTGGGCGTCTACGCAGTCCTTCATCCTGTTTAACAATACCCTGTTGAAGACTTTTCCTGGTATTGAGAGAAGAGTGATGCCCCTGTAGTTGTCACACTTGCTGAGATCGCCTTTCTTCGGTATTTTGATCAGGAGTCCTTCTGTCCAGTCTTTTGGTACTTGTTCCTCATCCCAAATCTTATTGAAGAGAATGTGGAGTATCCTTGCAGTTGCCGCTACGTCTGCTTTTGGTGCCTCTGCTGGAATTTTGTCCGGTCCTGCTGCTTTGCCACACTTGATTTGTCTGATGGCCATGCTGATTTCTTCAATTGTTGGTGGGCCAACATTAATTGGGAGGTCCGTGGGTACTGCTTCGATGTTGGGTGGGTTCAGTGGATCTGGTCGATTCAACAGTTCTTTGAAGTGTTCTACCCACCTGTTTTGTTGCTCTTCAATGTTGGTGATTACCTCGCCTTCCTTGCTTTTCACTGGTCGTTCTGGTTTGTGGCGATTTCCAGAGAGTTTCTTTGTTGTGTCATACAATTGTCTCATGTTTCCTTCTCTTGCAGCCTTTTCCGCCGTCGTTGCTAAATCTTCCACATATTTACGTTTGTCGGTTCTGATGCTCCTCTTCACTTGTTTGTTTACTTCTGTGTATTCAGCTTGTGCCTTGGCTTTTTCTGCTCTTGTTCGGCTGGTATTGATCGCTGCCTTCTTGTTTCTTCTTTCTTGAATCTTATCCAGTGTATCAACAATGATCCATTCCTTGTGATGGTGCTTCTTGTGACCCAGGACCTCATGACATGTTGAAGTGATTGCCTCTTTGATCCCCTTCCAGTTGCTCTCCACAGTAGTTCCTTCTCCATTGAGTAGTTCGTGAAAGGCCTGGAACTTGTTGCTGAGGACTATCTTGAATTTGTTGAGTTTGTTAGTATCCTGAAGAAAGGCCGTATTGAACTTTTGTGATACTGTCTGCCCCGTTGTGCAGTGCTTCTTGAGTTTCAATTTCATCTTGGAGACCAGTAAGTGATGATCTGATGCTATATCAGCTCCTCTCTTAATTCTCACGTCCTCTATAGTCCTCCTGAACGTTTTGTTGATGCAAATATGGTCGATTTGGTTTTGTGTAGAGTGATCCGGTGAAGTCCATGTGGTTTTGTGTATGCGTTTATGTGGGAATATAGTGCCGCCTATGACCAGCTTATTGAAGGCACATAGATTTGCAAACCTCTCACCATTTTCGTTTATTTCTCCCAGTCCGTGTCGTCCCATGATGTCTTCATATCCAGTGTTGTCCGTTCCAACCTTGGCGTTGAAATCTCCCATCAGAATGGTCAGGTCCTTTGTTGGGCACTTCTCGACGATTGACTGCAGCCTATTGTAGAATTGATCTTTAGCGTCTTCATTGTAGTCGTTGGTAGGCGCATAGCATTGGATGATGTTCATTAAAATGCCCTCTTTCTTTGTTTTGAACGAGGCTTTGATGATCCTTGGTCCATGAGATTCCCATCCTATGAGTGCATTTTGCGCTTGTTTGGACAGCATCAATGCAACTCCTTGTGTATGTGGTGTATTTTCTTCTTCATGGCCGGAGTATGACAGGAGCTCTCCTGTAGTTAGTCGTTGTTGTCCAACTTGTGTCCAATGTGTTTCACTGATCCCAAGTACCTCCAGGTTGTATCTTCTCATTTCTGCAGCAATCTGGAAGGCTCTTCCGGTGTCCCACATTGTACGAACACTCCATGTACCTAAATAAATGGTCGCTCTGGTTGTCAGAAGGGGCATCGGCCTCGTAACTTCCGAAGGGATTCGGCTTTCATCATGAGGAGTCATAATTCTTCTAAATGAAGATCTTCTGACTCCCAGGGCAGAGTTTAAAAGGTTTGAATAATTTTTTTTGGTTAGCGTTTTTTAGCGAGTTAGTTTTCTACGGGATGGCGACGCTAACCCCATGCCCAACCCACTGACTCATATTGATTCGTAAATATTTAATAAAAGAATATAGCAAAAGATTAAATCCCTTCCATATATCCCCTGTTAATTAGTTTCCCAGCAATACGAGAAAGTCCATCCAATCAATGTGTATATCAAAAGTTCAAGTGAAGTAATACTATTATATCAAAAGATATAATCATTGTTCAAATACCACTAAACTTATTTGATTGTTTGCTAACACTCCTATCGTCAACTTATGCTTTGGAATTTATTTTCTCAACATTATTTTAGCATTTAATAGTCGCACTTAAGTTGCAACGAATGAAGATAGTGGTTAGTTAACAGGTGCATCGTGCACAAAATGAATTAATTAAAAGATTTTTTAAACCCTGGCAAATAATTCACTTCTAGATTTATCTAACTGGTCAGACAAATAACATATGATAATAGAATGTAGTTTCGTACTGACGATAGACGAATCAACAACATGAACAGTTGCTAGCTCATCCTACCCAGAATCTTACATCACAGTGAACTGCGAAATACCAAGAAACAAAATCCGTACCGTAACTGCCAAGATTAAATGTCTAATAAGGTAATTCCTAAAACACAGCAGGATAAATGGAGATTGGGGGTAGAAAAATTTCCACCTCATCATCTAATGTTAATTCCCTATTAAACCAATTCCTATGATCTTTGGATTAAGACATTTATAGGATATCCGTTTACTATTAGAGCCGAAACATATTTACAACATGAAATTGTGGTAAAGCTCTAGACGGAGTGTTTAAAAGTTACAATAACGACAACAGGACCTACATTGCGAATCTGCTATCACTTGACAAAAATTATATGTCTGTAAATTTGAAATGACTTAAAGATTTGATACTTGGTCATTCGTTGTTGCAGTAGATTTTACTGTAAAATATACTGATTGTGTATGTGGACGAAGCTATCAACGCAACTTCAATCGTCATCTAGATGTTAAAAAGATAGACCGTTGACTTCACCCATTCACAGTTGTTTTAAATTTTGCTCTTAAGCAAACAAGTGTGTCGTGAGATAGTGAACCATGGTTGGTTAATGAACAGAGGTAGACAACCATCTATGTAGATTGTATCCAACACTACACAATACTATTAACTTCTTCCCACTGTTGATTTTAAAGCCTTGGATTCCATACTGTGAAAAAAGAAGTTCATTTTGATTCAGGTTAACTGGTTCTCAGTTGTTGGTTGAAAATTACGTGTCTACTTACTACGTGATCTAGTCTAGTGGTCTAATTACCATGTTTTGTGATCTTATGTGTCTAATATGTTATATATTATATCGACAAAGTAGCTGGTCTATTAGTAGGACATTATCTCATGGTATACTGTGATGTCGCCAGGTATTTTGTAATCTCTGATACACGTCAGTCAGTCAGTCAGTAACAACGTAGAACTTTGTACGTACGTACATCAGTTCGAGTTGCCACACCACATTAGCACAGAGATTCAGTGGTCGATTCAAATTCCGTAGTGGTAGAGGTAATAAGAGTATAAGCAGTAATCGGGAAGATTAGGGTTTGGAGATGTTATTCAAGGAGTATAATCCAGTGGAATAAGTTTGCAAAGAGAAAAAAGAAAGGGACATGAAGAATTCAGAAGATTAGAATTTGGGAGAACACAGAGTGGATGCACCTGCGCCATTGCAAACGATTTTGAGCCATGTCATTCAGGGTCTCTAACCATCGGTTGCTATCGTCTCGCGGTCCCCAACCACGTAGTCTACACCTACCAACATGACTCAGTCCACTTGTCAGTCACATCATGAACTTGTGCCATGTTTTGGTCTGGCCGCCTATAGCTTTCTTCCAACCTACTCCTATACCACTGAGCATAGCACGTCGGGGCAGTCGGTCGTTGGGCATACGTAACACGTGTCCCAACCATCTCAACTGATGAAGTTTTGCTACTTCATCAATTGATTTGCCATCCTTACCTAGTAACCGTTTCCTAACAAATCGTAAAATACATGATTCGTTTGAAAATTTTATGTGTAAAATAAATAATAATCAAATAATAATAGTAGTTATTTAATTTTACCTGTAAATCAGCATATACTGAATGAACCAAAATAAAGAGAATATTATTTCGATCATTTATATTGATGTAGGTTGATGCTTTGCATAAATTAACTGCAGCTAATAATGCAGCTTCTAGCAAAGCTGGTTTACTTGCACTACTTCCATGACCATGAGAAGCAAGAGCTTTACGAACCTGAAATTGTGTTAGTGTTGGTTGTGAGAAAAAATAAATCAAAGGGTGATGGAATCAATGAATAGTAGTTTCTTATTTTCAAAGGTTTTTTGAAATTTAAAGGAATTAATGTATGATGCATAAAGTTAGAAAAAAACTCAAAAATAACGCTGCATTTGGATAGAAAAGTTTAGTAAATGTATCAGAGAGAATATATTCAATGAAGACACTAATATCTTTTAAATAATACTAGTAAGTATTTTCAAACAATAAATAAAAGTCATTATTTCGATCATTCAAATTATTATTTTTATTACAAACAGATTTATTTTTGTTTACTTCAAGAAAACAAGCAGAAATAGTGAAGTAACTCATCAAATTCATCAGTGTTTTATAACAATAATTCATAGAAGTATGATTTCAGTAAGCCTTCCATTTAACATTAAAAAAATAAGGGACATAATATTTCAATATCTTCCCTCTAATTAGTGCTAACTGTTACAATACATTTAGATTGTCGTTACCAGTAGAACCCAAAAAGCTCATTTTTGTCCCCTTTGAGATAAGTGAAATTCAAACATCGTTTAAATAACAGACTGAATTGAACTAGACAATTTTTGGAAATCAGGAACTATTGAAAAGAAGAAATGTTGTAGTTTTGGAGTTCTCAGTTTGCTTAACCATGGTCAAAATTAGAACTTTTAAGTTTCACATCAAGCCTTCAAATTGCTGACTTCATTCAGTTAATGATATCGCGTCGACAGTCATCTATTCTCATTAGTGATATGTGTCTTATACTGCACATGATTGGACTCTAATGGTCACTAACATTTTGGGAGTTTTTCTCAAAGTTATTAGTGAGTACCAGTGAGAATATAAGATTTAGTTGCTTCAGACAAGTTTAGTTTAAACAATACAAACTATTTTCAGTTGAAAGGACTGGCAACTTTGCAGGGATTCTATGTACAGTTGCTTTTTTAATAATCAAAAAATAGATAGGGTTTCAGTTTACTCCATACAATTATATAATTTGAAACGTGTGGACAGAAATATCATGGGACCTCATATAAATGTGTCACCTCACGCTATTATGCATTTTATCGGTAAGTTAGAGGAAACCAACAAAAGGAAAAGCAAAACGTTCCAATTACATCATGTAAAACATATATCTACTAGGATTTGAATATTTAGAACGTGTCAGCATTACAATTGACTTAGACACAAATGTCATATTATTCAAACAGGCAAATGTTTTATCATATTTTTCAGTACCTCAAAATACACACTTTCAATCTCAGGTAAATAAAAAGAAAACTCTCACAAACTGGACGATAAGAAAATCCCATTTTACAATGTAAAAATCAATTTCCATCACGCACTTCATCCATAAATTGTTTCTTTTTCTGATGCTCTGGTGATAGAGGTGCTCCGTTTTCAGCATTATTAATTTCTTCCAGGATTTTCGGACAAAGTACTAAAAGCATCATTTGTAGAGGCCAAACAAGAATTTTCTTCCGCCCACTTTCAGCACAAAGTGAAGTGAACAAATCAAACAGACGTTCACAACAGTCTATTGATGAAGGAGAAAGATATACATATGAACATAAGAAAAAACTTAAACGATAAAAATAACATCAAAAAAGAATAAAAAACGCATCTACTAGGTAGTTCTGGTATATATATATATGTATATATATATATATATATATATATAAGAGGTCGGTTGTGGTGAAACTTTAAATACACGTCTTTTTCTTAAGAAATTGGATGAAGCAGAACATTTAAAATGAACTCATAATTGCAACAGTAAAGATATAATAATTGCATTTAAATATTAACTAAAAATTTTAGCTTTTTACTTCTAATCGTTTAATCGCCTTTGAAGCTATAATAATATTGTTGAAAACATTGAAGAGAGTTTCGTTAACTATTCACCGCTAGTCAATCGACAGCGTGAAAATTTTGCGCTGAATTCATTTTTAAAGGAGTATTTATAGATAGACTTGAGACGATAACCAACTTGGAGATTTTCATACTCCTGACAAGCTGTAATTTAAGGTATGTTTCATGAAGTGAATGTCAACAACATATTGACATCAAACATGAAACTACAATGAACAAACTTTCATGGTATCTTAGTGTCCATTGTTACGTTTCCATTCTATCCATGTGAATTATCTAGTAAAATATGTAGTTCATTTTATAAGCTACTCATTAGTCACTGAAAATGTGAAGACTATCGTTGGTCGAAGCTATGTCCTTTTAAAGTGAATAAATCCAAACTTTGGCCACACGGAATGATTTTGTGGGCCTTTTTAATAATTGCTAAAAAGTGAAATTAATCTTTTTCATAATCAAGTGACATGCATGAATTTTGTTTATTTATATCTAAATTGGTGTCTAATCTCGTCGTAAATATGTAGCTCTTAATTGCATTACTAAATCGCCGTTGAATATTGCATCTCATACCATTATAATCTAGCGGAAAATTATGGCATCAACTTGGTCAGCCAATTATTCATCCTAAAAACTATTGTGTTATTAATGCAGCTAATGGTTTTATTTAAAATTATTAGATTAACCAAGTATGTTATCTAATTTGATGATGTGTTTATTGAGTCTAATCGTTATAGATCAGTCATTGGATATATTCTGTCCAGACTGAATAACGAATTAATGCATGTTTGGCAAACTTTTTAAATCAAATAAGTATCACATTGTGTTCATAGACATTGACTTATCCATCAGAATTAGTAGTATGCTACTTATTAATATCCAATGACTGATAGATGAACAGAAAGTAAACAGAAGTCTTTTGAAATAAAGAGAACAAACACAGCAAGTGAATGGGAAGGAATCAAGTTTTTGAAATATTTTCACTACTATTATTATTAGTTAACTTGCTCTGTTATACAGATTATCTTCATACAGTAGATGTTACTCATATTATTTCTATATCCACAGTATTACTAATTTATAGAACCTACCGGCCAATTCATCATTTGGTTTCTTTTGTAGTTCATCGAACTCTTGAGGATAATTTTCCAACCAGTTCCAAATGGCCTTCACAAGAAAAGTCGGAAAGAAACATTTTAAATACTATTGACACGGAGAATAGAAAAACAGAAACTAAATGTATGTTTATATTGAGTTTTGCTGAAAGATCCGTCCAAGCATAGATTAACTATTTCCACTTGGTTTGGCCTTTCCCAAAACTATGGTGTCATCAATCGAATTTTAAATTAATTTCTAACTATTGTTTACATCTCGATGTTTTACTACCTTTCTGAAATGAACAAGATACTAAGCAGACACAACATACTACGTTTGATAAATTTACTATGCAATAACTTGTAGAATCAAACATGGATTGGTTTATTCTCTATCATGAGATTTGAAATTTTCACTTTTTTTTCAAATTCCGTGACATATTCCAGTTGTTACCACCCGTACTACTGAAACCTTGGAAACGTTATTTGTGTCGATTGCACAGGTTTTCCGTGAGAGATAAATGTGAATACTCAAAAGAACAGAAAAGAACTCATAATCTTCCAGATCGTTCACAACATCAGTTATCCTGTCGAATTACAGGGCTATTTGATGAAGCGTTTGAAGATCAACAAATTGGTTGCCACAGAATTGACTCGGGAGCAAATACACTACTAGAAAACATACTACAGTAGTAAACATTAGAATATTTTAATTATTGACTTTGTCTTGGCTTAGTAACTAAGTGATAGTACACGGCTGCTTGAACGGTGATGGTTGAAGCAGAGTTCGAATACACGACCAATAGGTAAATAGTCGGCTGCTCTAAACACTAAGAAAAAGCTTCATAAATCTTGGTCATCTTCACTGTAATTGAACTATCTACAATTTATGAATAGAACTTTGTTTACTTTTTAATTTATTTACTTTCACATAAAACGTTTATTTAAATATAAGGACTTCATTACTTTGAAAATCGCTTCATTGGAGAGTTGAATGGAGAAACAATGGATCTCCTGAAGAGTTGATTATCATTGGATCAGGAAATTAAAATCCAACTGAGATAATCACCAGCATCTAATCCACAATATAGTGTACTATCTAATTTTTCATTACATGCAGAAGTTTATACGACCTAAGTTTGTCGGAGAATCATTGAAGATAAAATTCCTATGACTTACATAAGTTCTAAAAAAAGAAAGGTTAACCGGCAATTACATAATAAAATGACGATCCATTTTTTATTATCGGTTCGTTGTGGAGAGGAGACTGTTTAAGTTACGATTCGAAGCCGTAATTTGTTTACATAATTAGATTGCAACCCAATGACTATCCTGTATATTCTCGAAATCTCGGTCTCGTAAAATCTCATCCATATTTAGCAGTTTAATGAAAAAAATACAATAATTTAACTCACTCTTTCTAAGTAAACAGCAAGGTGTAACCAAGTGGACTTTTTCAACGATCTGAAACGATTACATATTTCTTTGTATCGTGAATAGAGCAGATTATATATTGTAAAAATAGTAGCTTACCTAGTATGAGGCGTGATAATTTACGCATATCTAAATTCAAGTGTTGAATTAACTCCAGTTCATTGGCTTGATCAACATTTGATTCATCTTGTGCAGCTAAAGCAAGACTATTAAACGATACAGAAAAGGGATAAAAAATATAAACATGAACTTGACACAAACGGTTATTCGAGAAGCTGATAATTTATGTAGATATTATCTGTTGATACAAGTATTAGATTGTCAATTACATCAATGAAATCTAATTTTGCTTGCATAATACATCACATCGTTTAAACTTTTAGGTTAAAATTTTGGTTGTAAATATTGTACTTATTACCTTTTCCAGTTTGTTAATACTTATTTTTGAAATTACAGTGTATGAACACAGGAATTTTATTATACTACTGCCTAATTCACAAAACTTTTTTTTGATATACTAAAAATCTGGCTTTAAACGCATAGTCCTCGAAACCTTAGTGATACAAGTCAACACTTAACTGAGAAAATCACAAGGATATAATGAACATTTAGATTACTGGTTAATTAAGAACAGACATTGTGAATGATTCTTTTATATATGATACATCTGCAGCTTGACGCATAGAAAAGTTAGTTTTGAAAACAATACAGTTGTGTAATTTTCAGTTTACGGACAGAACATACCTGATAAGCGTTAGTGCTCAAGATCACTGAAAATTATTAATTTAAGCGAGTCAACAAAAAAAACCAAACAGAAAAGTTAATTCTTTGCTTACCAATTAGGTATTCGATTGAATACAGCATTAAAGTATTGTGTACTTAAAGCGTATAGAACCTGCGATACCAGCAACAAAAGTTGATTGTACATCTTTCCATTTTCACTAGTTAGATTCATAAACTAATTCAAATTAATTTTATACATAAATTTACATTTAACACAAGGTTTCTAACTCTGAATAACTCTTGAAGTAGGTTTTTGACCAGAATAGTCTCATCTAGTCGAGACGTATCATGAGGTTGCTAAAGAAAATAATTTCTTTATATTTTTGAACATACACATGTGAGACATTTCTCCAATGTTTCCAATACAATCAAAAGTGAGTCACAAAAATTTCTTTCTGCATCTGGTCCATATACCTGCTATTAAAATAATTAGTAGCAATATAAACCAAACTGAATGGGATATCAACTTACCATACTGTCAATGTTTTGAAGCATTTTTGTTAATCCAGATATAACAAGAGAAAATTTATACCTGCTCACGTTTACTAAACATTCTTTGTTTCTTTCCATATTTTGTGTAGATTGAGCAGTATGTATCCCAGTGCGTATGGGAAGCTTGAAAAAAACAAGACCTATTAAGAGTTGTCTTCATGAAATAAAATTATCTGGAAAAACTATTAAGTTTCGTTTAGGATTTTTACTTTCCTTAATCACAGCATTATTAATTTCCAGTAGATGAAATGAGACCATAGTGAAGAACGGTACTTGAATAATAAAGCATTATGGGGATCTATCTTGAAACTTCATAATTACTTGCACCAACCGTCTCTGTGAATTACTAATCTCATTGTTTGAATTCACTTTAATCATGTGTTCATCAGGATTCGGGACTGATTACCATGAAATGCGGTTAAATAGTCATTCTTTGACCAACCTTACAATAATTTGATCAAATATCGAACCAGTAATACGTAAAATTATGAACGTGCCCTTGCAAAATAACCCAATAGACTAATCAATAAAAAAGAGGCTTGACGATTAAATAACACAACACATGGGAGAAAATGAACAGAAATACTGCATATTTGCTAATTGGATGTTATTCTAAAACCGTTTCTTAATGGTTTGAGTACTCGATTTTAAACTAAAAAGTTACATGTTCATACAACAGCCAATTTATTTTAGTGTAGGCTAAATGATCATCTAAAGTTCGTTCATTCTAAAGTCCGTCACATGAATATGCATTATGCTACTAGGCAACAAAGAAAACCTGACAACTTTGAAATAAATAAACTGAATATTTATATTGTTCACAAATATTAACAAGCTCAATAATTTGGGTGATATTTGATGCAAGAAAAACCACAAGCGACAATTTTTATCGCTGCATATTAGAGAAAGCAACCTTGGGGTGTCCATACGTTTACTGACAGTAAGGATTTCATAGTCAATAAGGCAAATAGTAACGCGGGAGTTTTTAGAATCTTTTACGCTGTTACCCCTAATCCTGGATTTCAGGAGATATGTCACGTTCCTTGAAATATTTATGCACTATAGTTAGATAAAGGATAATAAAAAATACTTTTGAAATAACTGTACTTCATCTGTTTTTGGTTATCTGATAACGAAATCAACCTACGGCTTCATTGAAGAAGAATTAAAGACAGTTCAGAGCAGAACGTTTACTTCAGAAATGTCATTTACCCAAACTTTATAATCGTACACAAAAGTGGTTAACAAATATGATGGTTAATCAAAAATAAGGTTACGTCATTTCAATTGTCAGAAGGAGGTTTCCTAACGATCAAAAACGTAAAGAAAGATAATAAGATGAAATCAAGTTGGTGAACGATGATCGTCCATTTTACGAATGTGGAAAAGGTGAAAAACGAATTGAAAACGTGACGATAATAAAGAATAACTAAAAACAAAGTGATCAAAGAACATTGTTATCTCCGTTAGAACTAAAATTTTTAAAGTCTAGAACAAAATTTAGTGACGTCATTCCTATTGTGGTTACATTGATACCGAATTGACAAAATCGAATGGGTCTAGTATTCTGTGTCTTTTGAGCTGATTTCTTAGATGTGGTATGTTTTCTACTACCCATCTAGTAGTCCCATTGTATGTTAAATCTTTCATGTCTAGTATGGGCCTTAGGGAAAGATTTTTTATATGTACTTTTGTAAGACCGTTAGTCTTGAAATAAGAGTACTTGATGGTTTAAGACGCTCAAGAGAATCAACACTGACGACTGATTCATCATTCGTTTTCTAAGAAGTTTTGTAATCCTCCGTTTAAATTGACTAGTCGCATCTGTTTGAGTTGTTCCTTTAGAGACCTTGTTGGTAACTGATTATACGATGATAATTTTGTAGTCTAGACCTGGTAATTTATAAAGATTATACCAACACATTTATTAGGACGGCTTCGAAATAAATCTGTTTTTCAATAAATCAAATAATTGTGATTTATGTTCTTTTCAGAGCAGTTGTCTATTTGTACTTTTGTTGTCAATGTACTGAATGCAATGATCTATAATAATTATTTTTACTGAAGGGCCAAAACCACTTGTTTGATATGAAAGTAAGGTCATTTTGCTTGATGAATTAAGTTTTTCATTTCTCAGTCCATCGACAGGTCTGAAGGCGTCACAAAAATTTGGATTTAGATACAATGTCTGTAACTAAAATGCAGACGTTAGGGGTGCAATTCTTAAGTACTTTAATAAAGAAAGTTTGAAAGAATTAGAGAAAGCAGGTATCACCGTTGAATGAATGTCTATGATTCTCAGAAAAATGAATTGAAAGCTATGATTATGAATTTGCTTGGAACAAAAATAATTAACTGAATGACAAAACATTAAAGTGATAACAAATAAAAACATGTGAATAAATTTAAATCATAGATAAAAATAAAATGTATGGGTCCCCATAAATGATCCAAAGTCTTTAAATGTTAAAGAAATTATGTTGCATTCATTGAAAGTGAGGTAGTGTGGTTCTTAGCGTTTTGGAAATGATATGAATGAATTTGTAATAGACGTTTGAGACAATATTGATATCAGTGAACACAATACAGTACTGTAGTGTTTCGCCATGACGATATTTAATCTTAAGTATCAGGAGTGGACTCATGATCGAACTGTGGATAAAAACATCTGCAATTAGGTCAACCTAAGAAACAATTACAAACGCTGACAGTGTTAGTGCCCATTCACTCTTTCGCCCACAAACGTCCTAATTAAGACACAGTCAGCGTACGCTAGTTCTATTAGAGTAAAGTAAACAGGTTAGATAAATACAAGTTTAATAAATTTCAAATTAGGAATTTTCGCAACTTCTTATTATTGAGATGCATCAAGCTGCAAGTAAGCCATGTGTCTCGGCGTTCCATACGTACAAGCTCTCAAATTAAGCATCAAAGTTAAAATAAAGGCAACATTTTGCGGAATTTAAACGACGTTCCTTGAGAAAATTTAGTTCGAATATGTGCAACAATTCATCAAATCGTGGCTTTGTTCCCAGGCGCTGAGATAATGTGGGCAACTTTCGCTCGAACTTTCCGATGAGAAACGTCTCAAACTGGACACGCTAAACTTTGCATGAATCAATACCAAATAATCTACTTTTCTACACATTTCCCCGAATATCCGGGGACTATATAGCCCACTTCTCCCCTAAATTGCACTAGTGTCCGCACCATATTACAAAACAAACATTTTTTCAAAATTTGCACTGTACTTTGCTTTATTTCTCTATATTTCTCCAACATTTTACTTTTTAACTTGTATTGGGCTAGGTGTCATACACGTGAAGTCACCTTAACTGTGATTCGAATATTTTGAGATTTATAAAACTTTCCTTACACAAGCGAAAAACGTCGCTTACCTGGGAATCAAATCTGGAAAGTAAAAGCTGTACCCACTCATTCGGTCGTTTGTCAGCCATTGGGCTATTCTACACACGAAAAGCTAACGAACAATCAGACCGCCCCCATAATCCATCGAACGGAGTTAATGGAGTTGTGGTTATTTAAAACAATGTTCACATTCAATAACATTTGAAAATATATAAACGTTTCTACGCTTTGAATATTAATTAACTACACAAAATAAACGTTTTTGCAAACATTTAATAGCGATACTGGTCATATTAACCTTAGTGAACATCACTAGATAACAGCGATCAATTCGATAACACTGTTATTTCTACCTTCCCAAGATGTGTGCCGAAAATCTTCAGGAATCCTATTCGTCTGTCATAGCAGTCTTCATTCGTAACGTCAAAGGAAACACGAGTTGCCTCAAACGATTTATTGTCGAACCTCAGATATGGTAAAACTATTGTAACGGTAAATAAATCCCCAAAATAAATAGCTCCGTAAGTTTTCGACATTGGATGCTGACCATATGTTTTAGTTGACTCATCTAGCTGAAGGCGCTCGGTCATGCATCCGAACCAGATCACGTGTGGTAACGCCGTGCTCAACATCTACCGCAATCGCTAGCTAGATTAGATCAGAGAATTCCGATATATTGGTTATCGCCAAATACACTCTTCAGATCTCCTCGACTCTGTCTTTTGATTTCTCTCGGTGGGTACAAATTATATTAGAAGGTGTTGCTAGTAAAAGCGTTGTCGAACACTGAATACCTGACCCATCCTCACTATCTGCTACTTAACCGCATAACAAGCTGTGTAGTAACCTAGAATATTTACATAACTGACAATAGACACAACCCAGCAAATGTGCAAATTAATCCGGAAAGGACAAGCCAAATGTTACTTGACACTTAGACTACATACCATATAAGGGGACAACACATTGAATAACGTGATGCACAGTCAGTTATTGTAACGAACTAAGGGTTTCTTATGAGGGAAGTAAGACGGAACGTCTTTAGGCTTTTTGCTAGCTGCACAGTCATTAAGAGACACATGGGACTCGAATCAATCAAAAGATAGATTCCCTCTCTTTTGTGATAGCCCTTGATATTAGCTCCTGAGGACCGAGTAAAATATTTCGGATGACGGATGATTCTTACACTATATCACGGGTCAGTGGTTTTGAATCCAGGACAAATGATTTATATATAATGGCTCAAAATCAAAATTTTTCTTGTGAACCCTAAAGGTTCTTGGTCCTTTTCCTGGTAGTGCCGTGAGTATAGCTAAAGGTTCAGGTTTTCATAAAAGCTCTAAAAAGGGACGAAAGTATAAACTAAGAAGCAAGTTCCTATTTCTGGAAAGCGAAGATAATTCCTCGCACCACTTATGCCTTGATGGTACGATTGCTCATGATACCTATAAATCAGAGCTTTAAATTGGCCACTATTGTCTTAAGTTAGGGCCAGTGCAGCAGCTCACATTGACGTTTACCTCAAAACGGGTACGCGAAATTAAGCCCACATACTGATGTGACATAGCAGAAACTACATTCAGAAAAGGCATATTCTTTCGTCTGCATATCATTTTTCTCCGACGATCCTTCAGCGTGTCGTATGTCCTAGTGATGTATATAGGGGTTCACTAATGTACGGTTATCTTCCTTTGTGGGAACCTCACAATAAAATTCTCCCAGCCGATATAGTAAACGTTCTAAATTAGGCTCGCTGTCGAATGTATCGAGAGAAACTCTAGTAGAGTCTGATATGAATTAGGATTTAGGTAGAAAGGGAACTTTACTTCACAAGACAGAGGATTTAGGTGATTGTCCAGGTTTTCAAATGGTCATCTATGCTCGCTGTCTTGTTATGTTCTAGATTCAGAGTTAACCCTAAAATTAAGGCGGTCAAGGCAAAGGGAAGAGCTTTTTAAACAGAAATTTCCAGGAAACTTTAATCAAGATGGGAAACTTTTCCTCCATTTACGGCATAGTGAAAATCCTGAACTAAGGGACTCTTCTTACTGCAAGTTTGCAAAGTAAGGTTTTTATCAACTTAGATGCGCGATTCTATGAACGATGAAAGCAGTTATTGAACCAACGGACAGAACTCACTAATCGTACTCTAATAATACAAAATGACACAATCAAAGAAAAAGATGTCGAAACTGAAAACTGGCAAACTACTCACGGCAAATTACTCCTGAGTTGTCCGGATCTCCTCTCTCTACATATGGGTAGTCCTGTTTAACAATCATCAAATTTTCAGCAACGATCGAAAGAGTACGGTCAAGCTAACAACCCAAATGTTCATAGACAGAGACCGAAAAGACCAGAGGTTTCCTTTTCCTGTAGTATTACTAACAGTATTATCAAGGGCACTGGAATTCGGATAATGAAATTGGAATTCATTGACGACCACAAACCATTCAGTGAAAATAGCATGAATGTCAAGTCCACAATCCCAGAAATTTTAGCTGTTCTGTAGCAATCAGTCTTTCAGTGAAGCACTTTTCAGTATATCAAAAGCCAGTTACTAGCAACAATTTTTTGACGACATAAAAAATCTTACAACATGGTAAAAGGGTGCTATTGACAAAGTAAGTATAAATACATAATAAGTAAAATATGCCTGGGCATTACTCCCTTCAATCAGAGTCAACAATTATTAGAACAATCTGCACAATTATGCCATAGGAAAGTGAATGATTGAATAGCTACGAACGTGAACCTGTTACCTGTCAAATAAGGAACTTTATTCACATTAAGCAAGCATTAGTATTCTATCTGAAAATTTGGAGAGCGTCTCAATTCAACCTAACTGCAAGATGATATTTATACTAAGTGAGATGCATATGACCACCTGTAGTTTAACAACCGTAAATTTTCCTAAGAGGTGTCTTGTCTCCATTCCAGTGAAATAGAACAAAACCAACTTGTTCGTATGGCAGCAGTAAAAAACTTAGCCCAGTATGTCAACTTCGAAAAAGCACTGGTGAGCGAAACGAAAATAAAACATGTATTAAAACCTTGACTACACCAAACAGTAGCTCATTCTCACAATATATAGATACCATAATGACATGATAAATAAAATTAATCAAAAAAGATTAACTTAGTATGCGACAGTGCAGAAATCAATAGGAGTGGTCTAACATGTAACTGAAAATAAAAGAATGTTGACAGATAGAATATATGCATGTAGCGATTGCTGAAAGCGCATAAATACGAGAATATTACAATGTATTTAGAAAGGTCGGGTATTGTGTCCAAAACACTGTGAGTATGAGACGTTTTAACACATTCCTGGAATAAAAGTTCCTATTGTCCATTTTCTTATTTATGACCATTATATCCCCACACATTTGTCCTGTACCACACTCTATTTAGTGCTTACACTTTGTTTGGGGACTCAATTTATATTATAGCTGTCTATTTATTCTCTGAAGAAGTGGCTTACACTGAGTCCCGAACTGGTCAGAAAATCTAATGATTCTACTCATTGGAAAATTACAAATACATTAATTTATTTATGGTCGTTTAATGCACAGCATCGATACCTCGCCTACAGCTCATAATTTGTGGCCACCTGATAGGCTTTTAAGATTGTGCTTATATAAATATTGTTTTCCAAAATGATGTGTAACATAAAGCAATATGTGAGATATAATATTTTGTCGTAGAACAAGCATCAATGACTCTGACATCACAAAAGGAGGGAAAGTGGAGTTACTGACCAGCAAACATTGATGATGAGGACAATAACTTCAATCCACCTGTGTTTTTGAAACTGAACATTTTGTTTTTTTCAGACTATTCATGATTGAGGACGAGTCAATTAATACTGAGGTTATTCTCCTACGCTCACTACTGGGACTCATGCTTCCAATCTTATTTTGAAATTGGAATTCTATCAAGGGGGCTTATAACATGCTAACGCGGACCTTTACATTACGACCTAATGGCTGGCATCAAATGAAAGCAAAAAGAAAGGTAAGAAACAAAAAGTTAAAGGACGAAGTTATTATCGTTTCTTAGCACTTCATTCTCTTTTGATGTAATTTTTATTGTTATAAACAGCCTCGCTTATTCAGGTTTTGACTTCGCTTACATCATTTGAACTCGAACCCCTTTTAAATATCGCAACTCAATGTTCTTCATTACTGTATTATCTTATCTGAAGGCTCTAACCACGCTTTACTGTAGGAGCAGCAAGTGGTATGGGTTTTATCTGCTAATTTATCATACCATTTTTTCTTCCACTACAAGCTGTTAAGCTTTGTTTAGAGTTTATATGCAATTGACTTGCTGCTCTTTTTTCTCTTTTCGTAAGCATCACGCTCTCAGAGAATGGACAAAAAGCTTTTGATACTCGAAACAAACTTGACGTAGGCGTGTCTTCAAGGTCACAACTAATACTGAGCGCTATTTGTATTTGCTTTATAACAACTACAAAATTAAAAAGTTGTGTTGCATAAATACTTAGCACGACCATAAATCTAACACAATAATGTCTAGTGTGAACCAGGTGTGTAACGTAGATGCGCTGCCTTTTTTTTTTAAATAGTTGAAAAACCACACTCAATGCAATACTAATCATTAACCTACTGAATCATCTGCACGAGTGTACTGTCTTTTATTTTTAATGCTTTGGTTTATTAAACGATCCTACTTGGGAAGCAAACCAAAAGCAAACCAATGTCTTAACTTATAAAACATCTCTGTAAAAGTGGCGTATACTCGCCCTTGCTGAAATATATTATATTATTACCCTATGCCACAGAAAATTTTAACTCGCATCGTTGCGATATTTTATATCTTTAAATATAATTTGTTCTCATATTGAAGGAGTAATCCTCGGTTGTCTACCAATCAGGTTAAAAAGACTCAGAGGTGAATTTTGAATAATTTATCGTATCCATAATACTCCTGAAAATAATCTTAAATATCTACTGAAGCTCCTTCACAGGACTTAAGGGAAATACCTTAAAATCAAGGATGCAGCACTGCAAGCTGGACTTTATTCATATGTGATAAGTCGTGTAGGTTGAACGCTATATACGGTTCCTAAGCTATTTCGGTAGCCCGCAGTCTAGAACTACACAGCGACTTGAACTCCAGAGAGAAGACAC